ATCTTTGGTCAGGTTAGCCTTGGAAACAATTCTAATCACTTAACTGACGTTTTGCAATGCTTGTTGTGTTTGTGACGTCACGCTGATCAGTTCCTGTCATTTGTATTTGACTGCGATCAACGATCCGTCCAAATATAATCTGCGTGCGGTCACTCATTTTTGATTGCTGAAGGTTTGCAACTATTGCAAATTCATACGCGAATGCAAGCTGTGTACGGAAATGCATGTTCCATCCAACTGTCAAGGAATGCAGTCGAAAATTTAAGACGCAAGAAATGGTGGATATTAGACTATAGTAGAAGAAGGAGAATTCTTCATGCAGCAGCCACAAGGATTATTCAAACATATACATCGATTGGTGCCTTAATTTTAGTAGTAATCATTTGTAGATATATTTGGTAATTCATGTTTTTTGGACCAAAGATGGGTTTCAATTGAACAACCCTTATACGAATAAGCGTAATTTTTCAGGACACAACTTAGCGAATGGTAGAAGACAATAATAATGATTTCAAGAACAAGATTGCTTCTACTCAGGCTCTCAGTTTATTTAGCTCAAGATGACGTTCACTTTTTTAGTATGTTATAATATACGTCAACAATTTGGTGAATGATTTCATCATACGAGGGATGTCTTGTAAGTTTTGCATATGGAAATAAAACAATACGGTATCTAGTTTTAAATGACTTTATTGTTTTTCGAAGTATTCTCCACGAATACTAATACACATCTTCATGCGCTCGAACGAATTTTCGAAGCACTTATTCCTCTCGTTTGCTGGCAGATCCAAAACGGAATTTTTTAATGCGTCAACTGCTTCTTCTGGTGACTGGAACCTTTGACCACTGTTTTTAATTTTCGGGAAAGTAAAGAAATCGTTAGGACTCAGATCGGGACTATATGGAGGATGGTCCAATAATTCCACGTTTTCTTCCGTTAAATACTGCCTTGTTTTTTGGGCTGTGTGCGAGCTTGCATTGTCTTGGTGGAGGATGATTCTTCTTTCCGGGTTGATTTTTCGAAGCTCGGTGATGACTTTTGGCAAACAAATGGTGGTATACCAATCCACAGTAACAGTTCTTTGCTCATTAAGAGGAATTGTTGCAATATGACCCGCTTTTGACACAAATGTCGCGACCATCTTTTTCGAAACACTTCAAGAACGGCTTTTCTTCACCTTGGAACACCCAAACAGCCGACTGTCGTTTATTTTCTTGTTCATAACAGTAAATCCACGATTCGTCACCACTAACAATACTGTACAAATTTTTTGAGTTTCCGGAATTGAAACAGTCAAGCGTTTTTTGACACCAATTAACCCTGGCTGCTTTCTGCTCTTCAGTCAACAGGTGGGGTATCCAACGAGAAAATAATTTTCTTACTCCTAATTCTTCATGTAAATTTTTTGAAGTGAGGTCTTTGAGATCTTCAAGGTAGGGATGTTCGATACGATCCGATATTTAGAAGTATCGATACTTTTGCTTCCGATATACGATATTTTGGTTCGATATTTTTTTATTTAAAAAGTAGGGCAAAATCATATTAATATTGTTGAAAAATCTGAGAGTGTTTGGGCCTACCATGAAAAACTATACTATACTAAATCAGATACTGATCTCGAGCTACAATTGTATTTAAATAGTCATACCATACCCCTAAATTCGAATCCCTTTTTGTACTGGAATAGTTCTTCCTCGGAGATATTTAAAGAACTGGTTAATAAATATCTCTCTATTGTTGGCACAACAGTTCGCTCAGAGAGATCGTTTTCTGAAGCTGGAAATATACTCTGCCAAAGCCGAAACAGATTATCTGTTGAACGAATGTCAGAACTATTATTTTTACATTCGCTGGGTGCTGAAGACTGGAATTTCTAAGATTTTGAGTTATTTGAAATATTGTTTTTTAATACCTTTTGCTTTATATAATTTATGTTTAATAAGCATATCTGTGATATGTAGTATAATTGTTTCGTTTAAATGTTAAATAAATAATGATTCTTTTTCTGATGAATTTCCTAGTTATTTTTTACCTATTTTTATTAGTGAACGTTTTTGACAATCTAGTCATGTACTTGAGTAAACATTATTTTGAGGGTTGTAGAAAAAACTTCGATTTTCGGCAGTGTGTTCCGTATCGGAAGGTTCGATACTTGTAGTATCGATATTTTTATTCCGATACTTTTAGTGGATCGGAACATCCTTACTTCAAGGACGCCTCAATTTCGCGATATGTCACATGTCTATCTTCAATGATGAGTTTGCGCACAGCATCCGTTTTCCTGGGTGACTGCCGTTTGTGGTGCATCCACCCTGGGATCGTCGCTAAGACTCACCCGTCCACGTTTGAATTCTCCATACCAACGGGAAATTGTCGACTGATGTGGCGCTTCGTTTCAGAAAACAGACACTAACTCAGCAAGGCATTCTTGTTGCGATAATTGTCTCTGAAAGTTGTAATAAATTATGGCGCGAAAATGTTCTCGGTTGAGTTCCATTTTTCTAATGACTTGGTGACACTTAAACATTCACTGTAGTGAGAACACTGCACGTATTGTTGTGAAACTTTGAATTTAAGTTTACTAAGAGTGAGGTTAAGATTCAGTACTGACATTCGATCCGCGCGGCCTACTATGTTTCTATATGCAAAACTTAAAAGATATCCCTCGTATATGGCTAATATACGAGCGCATTCACCAGATTTGTAATTGTTGAAGTCTGGTATAAATACGAGGCTTATTCAATTGAAACTCATCTTTGGTCAGGTTAGCCCGTGGTGTCTAAAATTTAAGACGAAAGAAATGGTGGATATTAGACCATAGTAGAAGAAGAAGAATTCTTCAAGCAGCAGCCACAAGAATTATTTCAGCAGGGTATACATCGATTGGTGAAACAGTGGGATATGGGCTTTCATAGTAGTAGTGATCATTTGGCAATAAATTTTTTCTGGACCAATGACGGCTTTCAATTGAACAACCCTCGTATAAGCGTAATTTTTCAGGACACAAATTAGCGATTGATAGAAGACAATAATAATGATTTCAAGAATAAGATTGCTTCTACTCAGGCTCTGTTTATCTAGCTCAAGATGATGTTCACATTTTTAGTATGTTATAATATACGTCAACAATTTGGTGAATGATTTCATCAATATCGAATATTTTAATTTCTTCAAAAATTGAGAATAAGTTTGATTCTCCTTTTTATAGTAATTGAGGCTAGATTTAGCACTCATAGTAAACATAGTGGGTTAGTGATTGTAATTCGTGTTAATAAGAATAAATACACAACTGTACCTCAGAACCAGACTAGGTTAAGTCCAAATAAGTAGTTTTGAGATAATTGTATTTGAAATATTTTACTTTCATTGTATTGAATATGACTTGATATGAGTTAAATAGTCGCAACTTCCTTATTATTACAGATAGATGAACTCTGCATGCAGCAAATGAAAATTCACAATATTATCACAAGCTTAACATATGAAACTCATTTTTGACAAAAATGTACTTGACCTAGTCTGGCTCCGAGGTACAGACAAGTAGTATGACATCACTTTATTTTGGATAACACACTTGCACAATTTATAATTAGTACCTATCACATAACAGCTATTCCACTACGTTCCACACATGGAATGTCAAAGATGTCAGCGTCGTATGAACAACTGCCAATCTCTAAACTTGCCAAATGTCAGCCTATAAATACAACCAATCCAGGAATTCGTGGATGAAAAACTAGCACAATTGACGGTGTATGTTCTCCTTGTATTATTGTATATTAGAGACGAAGATTTTGATATGGCTGAGACAAATATTTTTTTCTTTGAAAAATGAATGAAAATTTTTCCGTGCACAATCGCATGTATTGTATTACAGAATACACACATTTCAATTTCATCTTTTGACTTCTGCAAACTTTATCGAATACAGGGTGTAACGTTAGTAGTGGATCAACGGAAGTCAGGTGATATTTGCAATTTTGAGAAATTTAGAAAAGAACGGGATGTGTCAAAATCCATCAAGTCGTAAAATACAATTTCTTGTTTGCATGTATACCGACCTGCGTCAAACATACAGATTTTTCAAGGTGAGGCACTTATCGTGGTAAGCTGAAATTTTCAGGGTTTATTCTACATGGATTGAAATAGTTTTTATAATTAAATGAGTAATGCAATACAACCTCAATTTTTTTCACCGCCCTCCAAAGTTGAGGTAGGTATGGAAAAGATCTTTCACAAAAAATAAATTTAGGATTTTTTGTGTTGATTTCTAATAAGCTATGTTAAAAAGTGACATAACCATTGATAAAACCAGCCATTTACCTTATCTCAGAAAAAAACCTGACTTCCGTTTATCCACTACTAACTTCACACCCTGTATAATTGTTGCTTGAAAATGTTAAAAATGAGCACGTATTCCAAAAATTGCATTCGGTATGATAATTCAGATTACTTCAAATATAGATAGCTGCCATATGTGAGAGTTTTCGTATAAATACAACAAATACAAACATTACCTATTAAGTATGTACACACTTCCTATTAATTAGTAAACAAGTAATATCACAGACATTGATACATACAAAAAATGATTGCTATGGATACATATAACATATTAGACGTTTAGTAGAAACGACAGTAATGAGACGTCATAAAAACACAATTCTATAACTGTACCAGACAATAATATCACTGATCAACATCCAAAAAATATCCTAAATAAAATCAACAAAATATTACTATTTTTAATGTGCTAAAACCGGAATGAAACTTATTTTTTCAATATTAGCTCAAGTTTTAGAGATACGGTAATTATATGTGTTCCTGCTGTGACAGTATTAATATACTGTAATTCACAAGAATGCACGTGCTACATTTTTATATTCGGCAAGGAAAGATGATGTAATCGGCATGATTGTGTTACGTTATACATACGTGTACATTATATTGTTTTATATTAGCCATTTTTTCCTCAGTTGGCTGACAGCGTTCATGCAAGATGTCTCGAAAGTGTGTAAACAATCCAGATCAGTTTTGTTACGTGTGTGGTGATGTGACTTTTGCGTCTCAGAGACGGTCTATTACTCCACTAATAACAAAGGCATATCAGCTTTATTTCGGTTGTAAACTAGGTGATCAAGACAAACAGTGGGCACCCCACATCTGCTGTAATACATGTGCTTCAAGTCTGAGGAGCTGGTTAAATGGCAAAAAACGGTCTATGCGCTTTGCTGTCCCAATGGTTAGGAGAGAGCCTACAAATCATATTAATGATTGTTACTTTTGCATGATACCTTGTGTTGGATAAGCCACAGGTATGTCCAAGAAAAAAAAATCGGTTATTAACTACCCAAACATACCATCTGTGATGAGACCTGTGCCTCACAGTGACGAAAATCCTATTCCAAAACCCCCAGAATCCTACACTTGCGAATCAGAAAACGAATCAGATCATGGCGATCGAGTGATTCGTCAGGAAGAAGATATGCCATCAACGTCAAGAGATCCTGATTTTATACCGAGCACGTCATGCCACCAACCGCACAAAATAACACAGTCAGAATTAAATGATCTTGTAAGAGATTTAGAACTTCCAAAATGTAAGGCAGAGTTACTTGGATCAAGACTGCAGCAGTGGAACTTGTTAGAAGACGATGTTTCGGTATGTGTTTTTCGTAAACGCCACAAAGACTTAGAACCATTTTTCAATATGGAGAATAACTTGGTTTTCTGCAGTAACATTAACGGCTTACTGGCGGCTTTAAATATAAACTATAACCCAGAAGAATGGAGATTGTTTGAGTTTAAAGGCAGTGTTATTGCATATTGGAAATATTTTACCATCTCTTCCTGTAGAGTATGCAGTTCACATGAAAGAATCATATGACAATATGAAGTACCTATTGACATGCATAAAATACGATGAGCACCAATGGCATATTTGTGGCGATTTGAAAGTTGTTGCACTTTTACTTGGGCTGCAGCTAGGCTACACAAAGTTTTGCTGTTTTTTGTGTGAATTGGACAGTCGGGCAAAGGCACTTCATTACACCAGACAAAACTGGCCTGTTCGTCAATTCTTAGAGCCAGGTCAAAAAATGTACAGCATATGCCATTAGTAGATTCGAAAAAAAATTTATTACCACCACTGCATATCAAGTTGGGCCTAATGAAAAACTTTGTCAAGGCATTAGATAGAGATGGGTCAGCTTTTAAATACCTGCGTCAGAAATTTCCAAAACTAAGTGAGGCAAAGGTTAAAGAAGGTATTTTTGTTGGGCCACAGATTCGAAATATTTTGAAAGATACACAGTTTGAAAACACTATAACAGGTATTGAAAAAACTGCTTGGAATGATTTCCGTCTGGTGGTCACTAATTTCTTGGGAAATAGAAAAGCTGACAACTATAAAGCCGTTGTCAAAAATATGCTGTCATCGTATCAAAAGATGGGCTGTAATATGTCTCTTAAGATACATTTCCTACACTCACACCTGGACTTTTTTCCTGACAATTGCGGAGCCGTAAGTGATGAGCACGGCGAACGTTTTCATCAGGATATTTCAACAATGGAAAAAAGGTACCAGGGAAAGTGGAATCCTTCCATGTTTGCAGACTACTGTTGGACTCTTGGTAGAGATGCTCCAGAAACGATCCATAAAAGAACAGCAAAAAGACAGCGCATATAGTGATTCTTATAAGTATATGAATCTTGTTACTTTTTTTAATATATCCTTAAAAATAAAAAGTTTTTTTTCTAAACCGCAACTAATTTTTTTATTTCATTGTCATTTTTGGATTCAGCGCCCCAAAATTAACAAAGAAGTGCACTTTTCCCACAAGATACAATTAAAAAACTAAAATTTGTTGACCAGTGATTTCACTAACAATCCATAACAATACAAATTATGATTTGCTTTTTATATTACTCATAATTCCATCTGTTACTCATTATTTTTCCATATTTGATGACTGCATTTCACATTGTTAAAAAATGTAATATTTCCGATAATTCACTTATTGACTCAACTGTGTCCGTTGTTTATTACGTATCGAGCTTTTTGCTTTGTTACTTACATTTAGGAACACGGCAATGATTCTAATACAGTACTCCTGACTCCTACCACCTCTTCACACCAAACTCACTCCCATACGCGCTCAACACATGCTGGTACTTCAACAGTCTAGTTTGATTCTTCGCCTTTTCCAATATTTCGTTGGTCTTGTCATCGTCGAAGAATGTGCCCTTCTTGATGCTCTTCTCCAATTCCTCAAGCACCTTGCTTTTCTTCACCGGCTCAAACGGGACGTACTCCTTGGGCTTCTCGATCTTTAACTCTTTCATTTTCTTCCGCATCTCAAATCGCAACTTGTCTACCTGTGATAATAGACGGATCTATTATATTCGACTTAAGGGGAGGCTGAATATACAGCGAAAACTAAATTTGTCTGACGGCTTGAACCGCCTTGTGTACGAGAAAGAAGCGCGAGCAGTGTGTATCAAAACATGTTGAAAAGAGATAGAAGCCAAGAGGGAGGTCTGTTCGAACATTTAATTTGATATTTAGTTTTTATTTTGATTGGAATCATTTAACTCAAATTCCGCTGGTGATAAAATTAAGACATCCTGAGTTATTGTTACATTTTGCGGCAGCGCTGTCATACGAGCCCCTTCCCACTTCAAGATTTGTATCAAAATATGTCTTTATAAACTAAACATGACGAAACTATTTACTTCTAAAACAATTTATTTTCTCAAAAACATTTTAGACACACTCTAGTCGTAAAAAATACATATTTGAAATCACTTCGATCTATAACTAATAGAACATCTGAACAATGTGCGAATAAATGCGCGAAGTTAACAAAGCGACAATTGACACATTACCATTGGGTAACATCACCTTTATTTTTTATTCCGGCTGAAATTCTGTGGAGCATAGTGTTAACCAAGTTTTGGCAAAAATTTGGAGTAAAACAATCCCATATTTCTTGAAGCTTTTGTCTCAGTTCCGTGATTGTACGAGCAGGATGTTGTCGTAGAACCTTTTTCATCTCGTGCCACAAAGTTTCAATAGGTGACAGATCTGGACTGCGAGAAACCCATTTCAAAAGTGGTACATTATTTTCTTCCATCCATTTTATAGCCTTTTTTGAGGTATGGTACGCTGCACCATCTTGCTGAAACACAAAATCATGGCCGGATGTCTTCCATCACTGGTAAAAGCGATTCTTCTAAAATTGCCAAATATTTGTTTGTATCCACATTTCCATCAATAAAATGAAGTTTTCATACTCCTTTTGATGACATACTGCCCCAGACCATAATGGGTGCTTCAAATTTCACTTTTCTCTTCAGACAGTCAACATCGAATGCTTCATTTTTTGCGAATAACTCTACTGCGACTGTCATCAACACAAACTTCGAATCGGGCCTCATCAATCCATTTTCTTTGGCCTATAAACAAGTTGTGCAACTTTAGGGTTTTTACTTCACTTTTTTTTATAAGAAAACTTACCTTGCAAGTGCTAAATCCCAGTTTTTGGGCCTCTCTATGAGTTGTGGACCTCAAAATTCTCCTTCCAACAGCGTCACTCCGCAGAGCACTTAATCGTAAATAATTGGCACGCCTGTTTTTCACGATTATTTTTCTTAATGCTCTTCAGTCGGCATTTGTGATATTATTTTTTTCAGATATAGTGGCTTCATATTAACTAAACCAGTTACGTTATATCTTCTAACAATATTTCTCACACTGTACCGCGATAAGTCTAACAAAGTTGCAATATCTGAGTTTGATTTCCCAGAATTAAAAAAATTAATTATCAGTGATCGAATTTTCTCACTAATAACCTTTCCTCTACCCATTTTGAACCTTAATTACCCAAAACTATTTTAAACGTATTCTGACAGCTGTGATTAATAAAAGCAATTGTCATGGCTTTTATTTTTCACAGCCACCTATGCGTTATAGACTTATTTTGCATTGAAATGAAAATAGGTTGATATGCTGTAATTGCAACATGTGTTATTTTTATGCTGCAAATTTGATTAGGGAGTGATAAAGTTGGTGTTTTCTACTATATATTATCAAAATATTCATTGTTAATATTTTAAACCTATAACATCCTGCTACATTTTTATTATTTGTGTTTGATAAGAAAAAAACTAAGATTTCAATAGTTGGGCCAACTGAAGTGGGAAGGGACTCGTATATCTACTGTCATTCCGTCTTTCCGTGGTCTTTTCTTGAGCGTCTAATATAAATGCCAGTACCTCGTATTTTTCTTACCTCATAAGATTGTTTTCTCTTTTGCAGGCCCTATTAATATACAGGGTGGCCAAATGAAAAGGTCGTACCTCTATTTGTGACTCTCTTGGTATGTTTTGGGAAAAACGCTCGGACACGTTAATTCTGATTTCTAGGGGGTGTCGCCGTACAATACAGGGTGATCCAAAAATAAGATATTGCGTTACACTTTAGATTTTCAGATGGAAACGCCCATATTTTTAATTTTTAGATTTTTCATGAAGTTTTTAGTGACTTTTGTATATTTCAATCGTTGTGAAGTTATTTGAATATTAAAGTTCGACTAACTTAACTTAATACTGATAATAATGCAATGCACGGTGAAAAAATAATAATCATGGATACTACCCAACTAACAATTATCACTCCTATTAGAGTTGCAAGAATGATTATACAGTATTCCTTACACAGCATTGTATACTGTAAGAACATTGGCAAAACCCTCTTAGAACAGCTATACAAGCGGAATAGGCACACCTAATAGGACACTTCAGTCATTTAAGAGGTTGTATAAGGGCTGCAGGTAACAGTTATACAACAAAAGTGTAAGCCTCTTGCACCCGCTATAGGACATTTGCGTCAGTGCAAGATTCAGTTTTTGTCAACTATACAACTATTCTGTTACGTGATTCTACTTTATTGCAACCAAACTATTTCTTATGTATTGTATAGACGAAGTGAAGAATATATAACTAACACAATACAGTCATCTTGTTTACTTACATATCGGCCATTGTGAATTTCATACACAGGTATATGATAAACTTCTACACAGTGATATAGGGCTATCGAATTACTTGCGCAGCAAATTCTATTGTGATTATCGTGCAAAGTAAATACGCAATTTCTACGGGCTTCGTATTTGATTCATATTTTGATAATGATCAAAAGTATGTCTAGATTTTTAAGATGGGAAACTGAACTTATCTGTGTTAAATCTTCCACAAATCCTATATTTAGACACAATTACACTAATATCACTTTATATCTGTGATTTCGAACTGAAACATAATTATTTAATATCAAATAGAGGAATAAATGTCTGCCCAATATGGCGGGTGGTTGTGTATAATCATGGCATCGTCCACGTTGTCTTTAGTTTATTAGAATATTTTGGTGTTCGCTGCAGGTATTATACAACAATTTGACAAATGTCAGAAATGAAATACCGACAGAGTCGAATGATTTACCTAGAATTTGTACCAGATCTATATCTTCTGTTTGAACAGTTGATCAAACCTTTTAACAAAAATATGACAGCAGAAAGTTAGGTTATGATGAAGTTGTATACCAACATATTTAGCATATGTAAAGCCTTTAACAGTTACTAAACAACAGTTGTGTAAGTGCTTCCGTTGGGAGCAATTTGTTGGCGAAAGTAGTAAATTTGCACAGCAAAACAACAAGGCTCGGGTTTGTTTTATAAACGTTACCATGGATGCCACAACACAACCATTTTGACTAACCTGCAAATATGCCGTATAAAATAGTTGTTTACACGTTTATGCAACAGTTGAAAATTTGTCCTATAAGGTGTTGTGTAACTATGCTATACGAATATTTTAAACAAGTCATTTTAGAGCAAATATGTTGCAGAAAGCAAATTTGCATTCCACACAACATTAAGCCAGCATTTTGGTGTTCAGGCAACAACAATAGAGAGCTTTTATGGCTGAACGGTTCTTTTACCAAAAGCTTATAGCACTACTTTGCTAGTTGGGTAGCAAGAACATTGAGCATCAGTCAGTGTCATCGTATGTCATAGAAACATTTCCCTCAAAATACACCAGGAAAGTCACAAATGGGAGTGCGGTCTTTCTTTGTATATCACGTCCTATAAAAAACAACACCGTGAGACATTTACCTTGGTCTCCTCCTTAAGCATGGCTTCCTTCTGTCTCTCCTTCATCCTCTTGCGTTCCTCCTCGTCCCTAAGCATGCGTTGTTCCTCCAGCAACTTGAGCGGATCTTCCAACGGCACCCACTCCGGGAACTCCCTGTGCGGCGGCGTCGGTTCCCGTTTTATCTCGATCGGCGGCCGCTTTTTCACGCGCTCCTTCACTTCGGGTTGCGGCTCGTCGTACACGCGCCGTTTGATGACGATCTCCTCGTCGTATTTCGGTCTCGGTTTTGGCGGCGCCTGCGGAGGCGGAGAGGGGCTGTCGGATGGCGGGCGACGTCTACGGGAGGGCGGCAGGTCCTCCTCCGTGGCTTCGAATTTGAGTTGGCCATCCTCGGTGATTTGCGAGTCGCCCGGGAGGAACATGGCCGCGGAATCATCCTCGCCCATCACCAGACCGGGGATCAGCGTCGGCTCGCCGTCCATGAGGATCGTGACACCCGGCGTGTAGTTTGCTGTGCCTAAGGAAGCGGCATGAACAGTATCTTTGTCAAAAGCGATTTACTGCTACCCACAAAAATGCTACAAATGGTAAAGGTTTTCATACATTAATATGTAAATTAACGACACATCTCCCTTTTTAACGCGCTTTTATTAACACCCCAACGGGCCCAACGGGCCACTTTAGGTCTATTTAACATCACTAATACATAAAAAGAAGGTGGTAGACAAGGACCAGTCGACCGAGGCAGTACCACCCGCTAGCTTTTCCCAGGGTGTCTTATAAATGTCCGCATGTTTCCACACCTAAGCTATGCAGTCGGTTATCTACCAAAACAAAGAAATTAATGATGATGGATCCCTCGAGCACTAAAAACTCCGGACGTAAACTCACTCCACTCTCGGAATGTCCGGGTGGAGGGTGGGCTCGAGGGAACAACATCGAAGATAAAATTTGTTTTTCGAACATCTGCGGGATCAACAGCAACATTGATGCTGTTCATCACTACCTGCAATCCAATCGTCCCGCCGTGCTTTTCTTGGCGGAGACAAAAATCTCAGAGACTGCACCGATTAACCATCTCAACTTCCCAAACTACGAGGTGCACTCCAATCTGAGAAAGAACGGGGGAGTTGTGGCTTTTGTCCGCGGCAGTTTTTCCTGCTCCAGAGATGTTTCTATGGAATTAGACCGGAAGGACATTCTGTGGCTTCGCCTCAACTCCAAACCATCGCCCAAATTTATTTGGTGCCTTTATCGCTCTCCCTCGGATCATACGATCCACAGGGGACCTCCTAGTTTCTTTCTATCGCTACACCAACGGGCTTTGCTCCTCAGAGCTCTTTTCCATGATGCCGCCGCGCGATGTGCCTGCCAGATAGACCCGCCTGACTTCGGCGTGCCATCCTAACCGTGTCGAACTTCGTACATACAGAACTGGCCGATACGACCGCTCCTTTGACTCGAGGGTGTCCAGATTGCGGAACAATCTACAAGAGGAAGCTTTTCCCGGTTCTACTAACCTTAGGCAATTCAAAAATCGTATTAACAAAATTTCTTTGGGATCATCATAGCAGCCGCGGTGTTCTGGCATTTAGGCTTCTGCCTGCGCGGCTGCTTCGATGTATATATATATATATAAAAAAAGGACCGATGACAATGCACTATCATGACATGTCCACAAAAAACTAATTGATAAATGGAACTGAAAAATGAAAAATAATAATAGTTTAAAAAAACAAAAAAGTACGAAAATAATTTTTAATTACAAAGAGTTTATATTACAGTAGTAGATGGTCAAACAATCACTCATAATTAATGGCCTCAAAATAAATTGCCAATAGAATGATTTTAACATTTAATATATCAAGTTACCACACGCTTTTTACTATGAATTGAATTATTGTGTTAATAACTTAAATTTTGTTATACTTTTATTTTGAGGTCATTAATTATGATTGATTGTTCGACCATCTGTAATATGAACACTTTGTAATTAATAAAAGCGTGTTTTTCTTGGTTTTTTTAAACTAATGAAACACCCTGTATCTTCGAAACGACTGATCCGATTTAAACAAACTTGGGCTAGTTAAAAAGAACTATTCCTGGGCTACAAATGTTATAATATTTGAAGTCTTGTTAGTTTAACATGTAGCCGGTAGAGGACTTTTTCGATATTCCGACAGAAATGATTAATTTTCTCAAAAAATTAAATACTTTGTATTCTTTTTTATATAAAAGTAGTCTAAACAAGAAAACTGCATCTCGATATCTTGTTCCTAGTCTAACATTTCGCCGCTGTGCCGTCGGGATCCCCAGAAAATCGCGGCAACCAGTAGCGCGCTTGTCAGTGACAAGCTATGAATAATTACACTGATCAACAGCCAAAAAATATTCTAAATAAAATCAACGGAATATTACTATTTTTAATGTGCTAAAACCGGAATGACACTTATTTTTCAATATTAGTTCAAGTTTTAGAGATACGGTAATTATATGTGTTCCTGCTGTGACAGTGTTAATATACTGTAATTCACAAGAATGCACGTGCTACATTTTTATATTCGGCAAGGAAAGATGATGTGTACATACGTGTACATTATATTGTTTTATATTAGCCATTTTTTCCTCAGTTGGCTGACAGCGTTCATGCAAGATGTCTCGAAAGTGTGTAAACAATCCAGATCAGTTTTGTTACGTGTGTGGTGATGTGACTTTTGCGTCTCAGAGACGGTCTATTATTCCATTAATAACAAAGGCATATCAGCTTTATTTCGGTTGTAAACTAGGTGATCAAGACAAACAGTGGGCACCCCACATCTGCTGTAATACATGTGCTTCAAGTCTGAGGAGCTGGTTAAATGGCAAAAAACGGTCTATGCGCTTTGCTGTCCCAATGGTTTGGAGAGAGCCTACAAATCATATTAATGATTGTTACTTTTGCATGGTACCTTGTGTTGGACAAGCCACAGGTATGTCCAAGAAAAAAAAATATCTGTTATTAACTACCCAAACATACCATCTGCGATGAGACCTGTGCCTCACAGTGACAAAAATCATATTCCAAAACCCCCAGAATCCTACACTTGCGAATCAGAAAACGAATCAGATCATGGCGATCGATTGATTCGTCAGGAAGAAGATATGCCATCAACGTCAAGAGATCCTGATTTTATACCGAGCACGTCATGCCACCAACCGCACAAAATAACACAGTCAGAATTAAATGATCTTGTAAGAGATTTACAACTTCCAAAATGTAAGGCAGAGTTGCTAGGATCAAGACTGCAGCAGTGGAACTTGTTAGAAGACGATGTTTCGGTATGTGTTTTTCGTAAACGCCACAAAGACTTAGAACCATTTTTCAATATGGAGAATAACTTGGTTTTCTGCAGTAACATTAACGGCTTACTGGCGGCTTTAAATATAAACTATAACCCAGAAGAATGGAGATTCTTTATAGACAGTTCAACATTGAGTTTAAAGGCAGTGTTATTGCATATTGGAAATATTTTACCATCTCTTCCTGTAGGGTATGCAGTTCACATGAAATAATCATATGACAATATGAAGTACCTATTGACATGCATAAAATACGATGAGCACCAATGGCATATTTGTGGCGATTTGAAAGTTGTTGCACTTTTACTGGGGCTGCAGGTAGGCTACACAAAGTTTTGCTGTTTTTTGTGTGAATGGGACAGTCGGACAAAGGCACTTCATTACACCAGACAAAACTGGCCTGTTCGTCAATTCCTAGAGCCAGGTCAAACAAATGTACAGCATATGCCATTAGTAGATTCGAAAAAAATTTTATTACTACCACTGCATATCAAGTTGGGCCTAATGAAAAACTTTGTCAAGGCATTAGATAGAGATGGGTCAGCTTTTCAATACCTGCGTCAGAAATTTCCAAGACTAAGTGAGGCAAAGGTTAAAGAAGGTATTTTTGTTGGGCCACAGATTCGAAATATTTTGAAAGATACACAGTTTGAAAACACTTTAACAGGTATTGAAAAAACTGCTTGGAATGATTTCCGTCTGGTGGTCACTATTTTCTTGGGAAATATAAAAGCTGACAACTATAAAACCGTTGTCAAAAATATGCTGTCATCGTATCAAAAGATGGGCTGTAATATGTCTCTTAAGATACATTTCCTACACTCACACCTGGACTTTTTTCCTGACAATTGCGGAGCAGTAAGTGATGAGCACGGCGAACGTTTTCATCAGGATATTTCAATGGAAAAAAGGTACCAGGGAAAGTGGAATCCTTCCATGCTTGCAGACTACTGTTGGACTCTTGGTAGAGATGCTCCAGAAACGATCCATAAAAGAACAGCAAAAAGACAGCGCATATAGTGATTCTTATAAGTATATGAATCTTGTTACTTTTTTTAATATATCCTTAAAAATAAAAAGTTTTTTTTCTAAGCCGCAACTAATTTTTTTATTTCATTGTTATTTTTGGATTCAGCGCCCCAAAATTAACAAAGAAGTGCACTTTTCCCACAAGATACAATTAAAAAACTAAAATTTGTTGTCCAGTGTATTTTGATGTGATTCCTTTATACAGGGTGGTTCAAAAATCAATCCCAGTTAAGTCTTATGAAAATAATGATATTGAGCTCAATATTCCTTAATTAAATGGCCCATTAAAACTCTCCTTACGTCTAGAATCTGAGCTTCATTCGCTTACCGTCATCATCAAGGATAGTCTGCCCAGGTACGAACACCTCATTATCATCAGTCTTCACCATTTGTCCAGTAATGAACCGTTCTTTTCCGCTGCTGGGCAACGTCAACCTGACACCGGACACTTTCATCAGTTCGCACATTTCTCCGCTTTCCAAATGCTTGATGACCTCTGGAATCTCCTTCATGGTTGGAAGCTGATCCAGGACTTCCTGACCCCCTTGCTTGAGCTTTTCGGCGACGTTGGTGGTCTTCTCCATGTCGTTCACCGCCATCGGGATGTCTTCTTCATCCACCGTTTCCTCCTGGGATTAACGATAATATTCATCGGCTTATCTAGAGCAATTCTATTTATACTAAGTGACATATAAATCCGAACATCCGTTTAAATGGTTTTATTTTAATAAAAGTTGGTAAATGTATTTATCTTACTGTAAATAACAAGTGAAAAAATTTTCAGCCTTATCAGTTGGACATTCCGGTTTTTATACTGTTTTTTTTTAATTCACTAACGCTCTAAAAATGAATATTTCAGCCGCAGTAAAGAATCAACGTTGGCGGATTTTGGTTCTTGACATCCTTTACGATCGGTTACGATGCCTAGAGTAGGGAGACCTGTACGATTTCGTCAACTTATTGAGTTTGATAGGGGCCGTATAGTGGGACTTCGGGAAGCTGGACTTTCTTTTCAGGCAATTGCAGTTAGTATGCAAAGAAGTGTATAGACACTGTGGTTAGGTGTTGTCAGGCATGGCTTCGAGAAGGCCGTACGCAAAGAGCAAGGGGCACTGGACGCCGCCGTAGAACAACAGACCGTGAAGATCGCCGCCTAAGATTATTGGCCTTAAGGGACCGTTTCTCCACTACCAGGTCCATTGCAAATGAATGGTTTGCAGAACACGGAAGACCTGTTGGCATGCGAAGTGTTTACCGACGAATGAGAAGTTTTGGCTTGTTTTCATACCGGCCACACTGGGTCCTCCCTTTAACTCGAGAACACCGACGTAATCGCCTTGAGTGGTGCAGACAACGGTCACTCTGGGATCAGGAATGGAACACCATTGTCTTTAGTGACGAGTCTCGATTTTGTTTAGGCATGCACGATGGTCGTGCCAGGGTTAGAAGGCGACGTGGTGGAAGGAGGAATCCACAGTTTTTTGTTGAAAGACATGTTCATCACACTGTTGGAGTTATGGTTTGGGGTGCTATAGCTTATGATTCCAGGTCACCTTTAATCTTCATCAGAGGTAACATGAACGCGCAGCGTTATATCCACGAAGTTCTAGAACCCCATCTTTTACCCTATCTTGACACCCTGGCAGATCCAACTTTCCAACAAGATAATGCCCGACCACATGTTGCAAGAGTCACAATAGACTTCTTTCAACATAATGATGTCACATTGTTACCATGGCCACCAAGATCTCCCGACTTATCCCCAATTGAGCACGTGTGGGATATGATGGGTAGGAGATTGCTCAATTTGCAACGTCCTCCTCGGACTCTAGAAGCACTTCGAGAGGAGTTGGTGGTTGCCTGGAATGAGATACCACAGGAGGACATTGACCACCTGATCAGAAGCATGCCTAGGCGCGTTGGAGGATGCGAAGCACATCAGGGTGCATCCACACATTATTAAAGGTCAAAGGGCTTTAAAGCAGTGCAATCATTTTGAAATTTTTATCATTTACTTATTATGCTTCATTAAGTACTTATACAAAATTTTATTAAAATAAAACCATTTAAACTGGGTGTTCGGATTTATATGTCACTTAGTATATATGAGCCGGCTTCTCCGAAATGGTTGCCTGTTGTTAAAAAGATTATCTCTTCAAATATTGAAGGAGTTCTTAAGACTAGTACCTCATATGCAGATCTGATCTCTGACCACAAGCTACTATTTTGTGAGTTAAATATAAGAACCGTTTTATCCGAGGAGCAATTTATAATCTATAGGGATTTTAAAAACTTTGATGTAATTAAATTCAAACAGGATGGAAGGACGGGAGAAATGCTGTATATTACTGATATTATCTCCAAAATTCTAATCCCTTCTGGGGTGCTAATTGAGCTCTTCAACTTTCACGACCGTATTCGAACAGCTCGTGTCACCAAAAGAGTTGGTTAACTTTTGCCCTTAAGGTCATTCTTGACGTGGGAGACGGGGCTTTAGTGAAATTTTTTCACAAACCATCAGATGCATATTGGACCGCGTATAAATAGTTAGCCTCCATTCTAGGAAAGCTTGGGTTCAGCTGAGAGTGATGAATATTTGTCCCCAGAAACACATTGAAATACCCTATTACCATGTTGAATTATTACATAAAGGATGTGTATTGATTATAAATAACAAGTGCATCCCCTTAGTAGAACATCCTAAAAATCTGGGTGTTATGCTAGACTCTGACTTGAAATTTGGTTGACACATCAGTTACCTGTCAAAAAACTCATGCGAAATTGAGACGTTTATACAGATCCATTTTAAAATTTAAGACTAGGAAAAAAGTAGTTGGTAGCTTGGTTCTGTTATCTTTGCAATATTCTCTAATTATGTTCTATTTTTATTTGGATTCGTCGGATCGGTATAGGTTACAGAACATTCAAAACAACTGCTGAAGGTTTGTGTTTGGTATCTTCGAAGATTCAATATTTAAATTGGTTGAAGATGGAATCAAAATTTGTTTATGCTATGAAGGAGTTTGTCCATACAGTAGTTCGCACTAAAAATCCACCGCATTTTTTAGAAAAGCTGGTACCAAGAGGTAACATTAATCAGTACACTACTCAGCCCTTTCAGGAGACTTGTTCAGAAACAACTGATATCAAGGGTATTGTGATGTGAACTTATTCAGGGTGCGGCAGAGAGGACGGACGTTTTTGGGATGGTAGTACTCTCCGCCTCCGTCTTCGAGAAAGGTGGGGAGGGTGCCGTTTGACTCATGAGATACTTATTTTACCAGTTGTCGTTATGGAGCCTTGGACGGTGGAGCACCGCGTTTTCGCCTATGAGTGACGAAGCCCACTTTCACCTAAACAGCATGGTTAACCAGCAGAATTTTCGTTATTGGGCTAATGAAAATCCGCAACAGTTACCCGAAAGATCGCTGCACAGCCCAAAAGTAACTGATTGGTGCGCTGTATCGCAAACTTGCATCATCGGCCCTTACTTATTCGAAGACGGTAATGGTCGTGATGCTACCGATAACTCAGAGCGCTACGTCGATATGATCACCAACTTCTTTCTGACTGAATTACTACGGCGACGTGTTCCAATCCGACGTGTGTGGTTCAGCAGGATGGGGCGACCGCCCACACAGCCCGAGCATCCATGGACGTTATTCGCCCTCCCTTCCCTGGTCGCCTTATTTCCAGGTTTGGCGATGTTCATTGGCCTCCTTGGCCCCCAGATTTATCCATATGCGATTTGTTTTTATGGGGCCACCTCAAGGCTAGAGTATACGCGAACAAGCCCCGAACTCTGGACGAATTGAAGGGCGAAATTCGCGTGGAAGTCGCCCAAGTTGAGAGAGCGCTGTTGGAGAGAGTCTACGCGAACTTCCAAGAACGCCTCCAGCACTGCATCAACGATTTCGGCCACCACATGCCTGATGTGATTTTCCACACTTGACTGTCTCAAATTATACAGGGTGTTTCAGTTTATTGTTGCATAACTTTAAGATTCGATAGAACTTTTAAAATTAATGCATAAAGTCTATATGAACATGGGTCGAAAAATGCGTGGCTTCCGAAATACAGGGTGTTTAAATTTACTTTCTAAAATAGTTTTTTTTAAATATTTCGAACAATATTTGATGTATAACAGTGAAAATTGGTATACAAGGGTTTTTTGGTACGACAAAACGAACCATGGTTTACTGTAGCCGCTAGAGGGCGCTCTCCACTGTACCTTTAGTGTATTAAAATGACCGAAAAAATTTTCTTAGTGCAATTTTTTGCTTTTTGAATAAAAAAACTGATTCTTCGCACTTTTCAACATAAAAAAGTTCTCTTGTGAATTTTCGTTATAGTTAGCCGTTTTTTGAGATATTTCGATTTTAAGGTTTTTTTCTAAATATTTACGGGAAAATAATATTTTTTTTTTACATTTTCGATTTGGACTTTACAAGTAAGTAAGATGATCGTTTAGATTGTGTTTTTATCACAGCAATAATTCCTAACTCCAAATAAACACAAAAAAACAGAATATTAATTTGTTCAATTTTCCAATATTATTTTTAACAACTTAAATTAATTATTTATAACTAAAATGCTATTGGATAGTTAGGACAAACATACAAAATCTAAAGTAGTTGCTCGAAATGTAAACCCAATTGTTCAATACACAATTCACATCTACGAATGATCGAACGTGGTATAGCATTATTCAAATAAGGTCTTATTTCATCACATGCATTCCTGATTCTGTCTATTAGCATATCTCTTGTGGTTACGGGAGTCTGGTACATTTTTTCTTTTAGAAATCCCCACACAAAGAAATCTAATGGATTTAGATCAGGGGATCGTGGAGGCCAGGCGACTGGTCCTCCACGGCCGATCCATCTTTCTGGGTAATTTTCGTCCAGCCAGTTTCTAACTATTCTCGAATAATGAGCTGGACAACCATCAAGCTGGAACCAGGCCAATCTTCTTAAATCTAACATAACATCATCCCACATATTTGCATGTTCAGCCTTTAAAAATTCCAAGAAGGTCGCAGCATTTAACCTTGCAGGCAAAAGGTAGGGTCCAAATAGTCGATTACGGTAGATAACAATCCACACGTTCACACTAAATTCATGCTGAAAATTTCTGACGACCATTTATGTTTTGATCCCTTTGGAGATTTCCAAAACCATTTTCAATTATTTGGCGATGCACTCTTACAAATACTGAGCGAGTTGGATGTCGTCTGTTTGGAAATCTTCGTGCGTATTCTCTGGCTGCTTCTGCTGCGTTTCCATTTACAAAGCCATACACAAAATGAATATCCGCTAACTCTTGATTGGAGAATAAAAATGGTATTTTTATAAAACTTACAAAAAAAAAACAGGTAAAAGAAACTAAATTTCGTGCATTCACAATTGCAAAAAAACGTTTCAGGTTTCAACAGACAACAAAACTAACTGTCAACTAATTGACGTTTAACCTTATTCTGCTCTCAATTTCAAAAATATTTGCAGGCTCAGCCTACTTCTAAAATTATCGAGATATTGACTTTTTAACGTTATTTTATCATAAATAATAAAAATGCATAGAACCTTAAAATCGAAATATCTCAAAAACGGTTGACTATAACGAAAACTCACAGGAGAGCTTTTTTATGTTGAAATGTGCGAAGAATCAGTTTTTTTATTCAAAAAGCAAAAAATTGCACTAAGGAAAAATTTTCGGTCATTTTAATACACTACTGGTACAGTAGAGAGCGCCCTCTAGCGGCTACAGTAAAACTATGCCCATGGTTCGTTTTGTCGTACCAAAAAACCCTTGTATACCAATTTTCACTGTTATACATCAAATATTGTTCGAAATATTTTAAAAAAACTATTTTAGAAAGTAAATTTAAACACCCTGTATTTCGGAAGCCACGTATTTTTCGGCCCATGTTTATATAGACTTTATGCTCTATCAAATCTTAAAGTTATGCAACAATAAACTGTATTTCCTTGTGAACCTGATTCCATCAATAAATTTGTTTTCGAGTAAAAATTAACTATTTTATGATTCTTTTAAAACCGTCCATCCTCTCTGCCACATCCTGTATAAATTGTGCATTTGTTAAATACTTTTTTCTGTTTCATATTAATCTGCCTTGTTGGCTCGTATCGTCGTGTGTGAGTGTTGAAAAACACTTTATCTTTCCACTTTGTCTACTTACTTTTCTTTTTCTTCTTCTTCTTCTTATTATTATTATTTTTTGTTCGTGTATAATGGGGAGAGGCGACGTTGCCAGATTGATTACCGGTAGGGTCGTTTGACTTACTTTTTTATCAGACGTTTGTGTTGAACATCGTCCTTTATGAACCGACAACGCCGTTGCGTGGGATGTGCAGAGTCAATCTACTTGACGCCATTCTTTGGAAATCGGTTCAGTGGTGGCGGAGATATGAGTAATATATAAAAAATCCAGACCATTAAATTTATTTTTGCGGTGGGTCAACATTTCGAAAATTTCCATCATTAATTTTTGGGCAAAAAGCGAGGATTCTCCTAAAGGGCGTAAATATTTTAGAAAACTGTCAAAACTATGTCAATAATCACACTCACGCAGCATGATTATCAAAGATTGCTAATTTGAACGTATGGTATGATATTTGCTCCTGATTCTTATAAACATGATAAGTATGTTTGTGTTCCTGTAATTTTTATGATTCATAAGCTTTGTATGCTCACAATAGAACATTTACATTACAGCCTGTATACTGTCTTCAAGCATATTTGCAGATTCGAAAGAAACGAGCGCGGTTTTCTAGAATTTTCGTCTTGAATTCCAACCTTCGAATCGACAATCTGCTTGGTGTCCATTATTAATTTTTGGGCAAAATCGAAGATTTTCCTAAAGGGCATGAAGATTTTAAAAAACTGTTAAAACTATGTCAATAATCACACGCAGCATGTGTATCCAAGATTTCTAATTTTGACGTATGGTATGATATTTGCTCCTGATTCTTATAAACGAGATAAGTATCTTTGTGTTCCTGTAATTTTTATGATTCATAAGCTTTGTATGCTCATAATAGAACATTTACATTATAGCCTGTGTATTACCTTCAAGCAAATTGCAGATCCGAAAGACACGAGCGCGGTTTTCTAGAATTTTTTAGTTTCAACAATTTTCGTCTTGAATTCCAACCTTCTCATCGACAATCTGCTTGGTGTCCATTATTAATTTTTGGGCAAAATCGAGGTTTCTCCTAAAGGGCGTAAATATTTCAGAAAACTGTCAAAACTATGTCAATAAGCAGACGCAGCATGTGTATCAAAGATTTTTAATTTGGTCGAATGGTATGATATTTGCTCCTGATTCTTATAAACATGATAAGTATGTTTGTGTTCCTATAATTTTTGTGATTCATAAGCCTTGTATGCTCACAATAGAACATTTACATTACAGCCTGTATATTATCTTCAAGCAGATTCTAGAATTTTTTGCTTTCAACAATTTTCGTCCTGAATACCAACCTTCTCATCGACAATCTGATTGGTGTACATTATTAATTTTGGGCAAAATCGACGTGTCTCATAAAGGGCATGAAGATTTTAGAAAACTGTTAAAACTATGTCAATAATCACACGCAGCATGTGTATCAAAGATTTCTCATTTTGGACGTATGGTATGATATTTGCTCCTGATTCTTATAAACATGATAAGTATACTAAGTGACATATAAATCCGAACACCCAGTTTAAATGGTTTTAATTTAATAAAAGTTGGTGAATGTATTTATCTTACTGTAAATAACAAGTGAAAAAATTTTCAGCATTATCAGTTGGACATTCCGGTTTTTATACTGCTTTTATTTAATTCACTAACGCTCTAAAAATGAATGTTAACCAAGTTTTGGTAAAAATTTGGTGTAAAACAATCCCATATTTCTTGAAGCTTTTGTCTCAGTTCGGTGATTGTACGAGCAGGATGTTGTCGTAGAACCTTTTTCATCTCGTGCCACAAAGTTTCAATAGGTGATAGATTTGGACTGCTAGAAACCCATTTCAAAAGTGGTACATTATTTTCTTCCATCCATTTTATAGTCTTTTTGAGGTATGGCACGCTGCACCATCTTGCTGAAACACAAAATCTTGGCCGGATGTCAAACATTCTTCCATCAGTGGTAAAAGCGATTCTTCTAAAATTGCCAAATATTTGTTTGTATCCACATTTACATCAATAAAATGAAGTTTCCTACTCCTTTTGATGACATATTACCCCAGACCATAATGGATGCTGGAAATTTCACTTTTCTCTTCAGACAGTCAACATGGAATGCTTCATTTTTTTGCGAATAACTCTACTGCGACTGTCACCAACACAAACTTCGAATCGGACCTCATCACTCCATTGTATTGCACACCATTGTTGAGGTGTCCATTGTCTATGTTCTTTAGCCCATCTAAGCCGATTTTTCTTTTGCAATGGAGTTAATAGTGGCTTTTCTTTAGCCTATAAACAAGTTGTGCAACTTTAGGGTTTTTGCTTCACTTTTTTTAAGAAAACTTACCTTGCAAGTGCCAAATCCCAGTTTGTGGGCCTCTATGAGTTGTGGACCTCGAAATTCTCCTTCCAACAGCGTCACTCCACAGAGCACTTAATTGTAAATAATTGGCACGCCTGTTTTTCACGATTATTCTTCTTAATGCTCTTCGGTCGGCATTTATGATATTACTTTTTTTCACATATCGTGGCTTATATTAACTGAACCAGTTACGTTATATCTTCTAACACTATTTCTCACACTGTACCGCGCTAAGTCTAAAATGTTGCAATTGTTGAGTTTGATTTTCCAGAATTAAAAAATTTAATTATCAGTAACCGAATTTTCTCACTAATAACCTTTCCTCTTCCATTTTGAAAACCTTAAATACCCAAAACTATTTTAAACGTATTCTGACAGCTGTGATTAATAAAAACAATTGTCACGGCTTTTATTTTTCACAGCCACCTATGCGTTATATACTTATTTTGCATTGAAATGAAAATAGGTTGATATGCTGTAATTGCAATATGTGTTACTTTTTTTCCTGCAGGAGTGATAAAGTTGGTGTTTTCTACTATATATTATCAAAATATTCATTGCTAATATTTTAAACCTATAACACCCTGCTAAATTTTTATTATTTGGGTTTGATAGGAAAAAAAACTAAGATTTCAATAGTTGGGCCAGCTGAAGTTTGAAGGGGCTCGTATTATCTTCAAGCAGATTTGCAGATTCGAAAGGAACGAGCGCGGGTTTCTAGAATTTTCGTCCTGAATACCAACCTTCTCATCGACAATCTGCTTGGTGTCCTCTTCAAACTTATCCCAGTCCATATTCTCGACACATGTGCTGAGCATCAGCTTCCAGTCCGCGGACCCTTCACCCTTTTTCTTCTTATTCCGTTTATTGGCCATTCTCATCATTTCCAATTCCCAATCTTCAACGCCGGACTCTTTGGCCTCGAAAAGTTTCGCTATGGACATGGTCTCCTTGCCGTGATGATGTTCTTGCTCCACGAACTCTTTCGTCCAACCGCTACCTAAAATAAAAAAAAGGTATAATTACTTATTTCGGGAACTTCATGACTATTGAACCAACGTTTTAGACGTTTTTACTTACCTCTGTATAGTGGTACATTATCGTTGAACGGTGCCACAGGTATGGTAACCTTCATCCCGTTCGACATCTTCACCACTATTTTTTCGCTGCGTTGCGCCATGGTGATGTCGACGATGCTCTTGTCCTTAAGTGCGGCTTCCATCTGAGAACTGATCACCAAGGTGCACCTTTTGTCCGGAACCTCGTAGATGTAGTGTTGGCCTTTACCCTTAGGCTTCCTGGAGAGCAGGCTCTGCAGGTAGCCGTGGTTCTCCATGTTGTCGTCCAAGAACGGCTCCACGTATTTTTCGTCTTCGTGTCTTCGGACTCGTTTTTTGATGACTGGGACTCCTTGAAATAATTAGAAGATGTCAACAGAGTGACGGCAAACCACTGGAAATATTGCATGAGACAATCGAAAGAAAGATATGGGATATAATAATAATAATAATATTTATTCGCCAAAATACAAAAAATGGGCAAATAAATATGAAAAAACCACAGAAGGCATCGCCTGTGTGTGGTTTATATCTTAATAACTAACAATCAATCATATATGTGTATAACAATTATTGTTAAATCTAAAAGGTATTAATGTAATTGGAATTTTGTAGTTTCAGTTTTCTATCATTCGCTGCACATTACTAACCCAGTCTTTCAATGTGCTTCCAAATTTTTTTTCCAAAATTAAGTATCTTTATTTCGTTTGGTACTACATTATATAATTTAGCTGCTACGAATTTAAATGATTTTTTGAATAATGTTTTGTGTGGTCTTTGGATATTAGATGAGCCTATTCGAAATCGTGTGTTATGCTCGTGTTTATAGGATTTTTTCTTTTTATTACAATACTTATGGTATAAGGTGGTGGCATGTAAGAAATAAAGTTGTCTTGTATCAAGTATCCCTGTTTCTTGATATAATCTTGGCTTATGGAAAATTGCTTTCAAAACAATTTTTTGTGCTATATTCAGGTCAGAAATATATGTCTTGCAGGCGGCACCCCAGGCTGTGATGCCGTATATTATATGGGTTTCAACTAAGGCACGGTATAGGATTCGCAGATAATTTTCTGTAAGAATGTTAGCAAGCATTTTGAGTTTATAGGCAACATTTCTAATTTTTTTGATAACATATTTAATATGGTTATCCCACCTTAGATGTGAGTCTATAAATATTCCAAGATATTTCAAAGTGTTAACTCTATCGATTTTGGTCTTTTGGCCATGATAATTAACGGAAATTTGTTCGAAGGTAGGTAAAAATTTTGAATAGGATGTAAATGCAATAAATTTAGTTTTTTTGTCGTTAACTGTTAAAATTTTAGTATCAAACCAGTCAATGATCCTTATAAAATCCTGTTCAGCTATTTGCTTCAGTGTGCTCCAGTCATCAGCTTTATATAATACGAGGGTGTCATCTGCAAAACATATAATCTTTCCAGAACTGTTAAATTTGAATAAGTCATTTAAGTAGAGACTAAATAATAGTGGGCCTAGTACTGTTCCTAGAGGCACACCATACTTGATGTACATTTTTTTACTGGGAGTGTTAGTGATTTTGACAGTCTGTGCCCGACTTGAAAGGTAATTTTTTAAAAGGATTTGTGACGCTCCCCTAAATCCCAATCTTTCCATAACTTTCAGAAGCTCGACATGGTTAACCGTATCAAAGGCATTTTTTAGATCAACAAAGATACCAATAGTAGGTATCTTTTTGTTGACATTAGAGTTAATTTCATCCATTGCAGCCAAAATTGCATCTGTAGTAGATTTTCCTTTTCTAAATCCATATTGGTCAGAACATATAATTTTGTTTTTGTCCAAAAATTGTAATATCCTTTTTTGTAGTAATTTTTCGAAAATTTTGGCTATATTCGATAGTACTGATATGGGTTTATAATTTGATGTTTCCATTCTGTCACCGCTTTTATAAACAGGAGTAATAACAGTTGTTTTAAATGCATCAGGACAAATTCCAGATTGGAAACACCAATTAATGACGTAAGAAAGTGGTTCGGCTAAGTCGTAGGCTATTATTTTTAAATGGTCAGCTTCGATACCATCTACACCAGGACTTTTTTGGTTTTAAGTGATAGGACAGCTTCTTGTACTTCAATCGGACTAACGCTTTCTAAAAAGAATGAATTGGGAAGTTGGGTTTTTGTGAACTTTTCATTCGAAAGCATTTTTTTAATACTGAACAATATGATCGATATTCAAATTGAACATGTAATAATTAATATTAACCATTCGGAGGATGATTCAAGTACTTCCAGCTAATAAAGAATAGTGAAATATATAAAAATAATAATTACTTTTGTTATATTATTCTAAGACTATTGAGGAAAATACGGACCTGTACAACCTCGCTCTTGGGCATGTTGTGTTTTGTCTGGGCGTAATTGGACTACGAATGGGGTATAGATCGACTGTGAAATGTTAACGTTAAAATGGTGAATGTGCGTACCTGAATCGGATCTCATAAAAATGGTGAATGCGTTCTCTTTTTTTAGTAGAATCAGTTGTTAGAAATGGTGGAAGCGCATAGTCTCACAATAAAACTGCTTTCATCTCTATTTGACTTAATATATTCCAAGTGACTCCATCAGTGGCGTAGATAGAACAGGTAGGAATGTAAAAGTAAAGTACTAATAGTAAAAAAGTCTTGATACAATGGTCGAATGATCTCAATATCTTTCTTTTATTTTGGTGGCGATACCGTATACGCGGAAGCTCAATAAGGACCTTGAACAAGGAGCATGAGGTCAAAATAAGGACCCCAGTCAGGAACTCTAAAGTCTCTGTTTTTATCTAGAATTTTTGAGTAGAAATAGAACGAAGTTGATACATTCGGCTTTCATAATTATTACCTTCTTTGAACTACTATACACCTTAGGAAAAACCATTGTTATACATGGGAAATCATTTCTTGGCAACAGCGCATCGGCTCGTCTACTTTCATCGCTATTCGTACATATTTCCTACCGTTAATGCGCGTGCCGTCGTCAAGTGCGATAAGGGATTCATGACTCACTCTGCGGTTGGGTTGCGTCTTTATTTAATCCAAAATATCTTAAAAATGTACTCGCAAGAAGAAAAATTTCAAATGATAGAATGGTACATTCAGCACGCGCGGTTGTTGAATTATTTGCGGTACGCTTCCCAGATCGGCCAATTCCGTCTCACGCAACGGTTATAAATACCTACGAAAAATTCAAGAGGGTGGGCTGCTTACATAAGAGCCATAGCTGCATGCACCCTGAAGGTTGGAAACCAAAAATTAGCGAGAAAAGGGAGGAGATCGAAACTGCTGTTTGTGCCGCTGCAGAAGTATCTGAGCCATGCTCAAGCAGAAAAATTGCTGAAATGGTACCAATAGCCGATCTCACACCCAGAACAACAAGAAATATTTTGCATCGCAACGGCTATCATAGCTTCAAGGTTGGAACGGTTCAAGAAATATTTCCTTTAGACAAATACCGTCGAATGGAGTTTTGTGAAACGGTCATGGAGAAGGCGAACAGGGATGGCAGTTTTATTGGTAACATTTTGTTTACTGATGAATCCACATTCCCTCTCCACGGTCATCACAATCCTTCAGTCGTTCGGTATTGGTCTCGGGAAAATAAACACCTCAGTATTCCCGTCCGCACGCAGTATCCACAGAAACTGAATGTGTGGGCAGGAATTCTAGGTAATAACATTATCGGACCGTTCTTTATTCATGGAACTCTTACGGCTGCAAAATATTTGGCGTTACTACAGACGCAGATTGTTCCTGCAATTAGGCAGCTTGGCATTGATCTCGCTAATATTTGGTTCCAACAAAATGGATGCCCTGCGCATAATGCGGCGATCATACACACTTACCTTGAAAGTGTGTTCGGCCACCGGCTTATTGGCGGTAACGGAACAATAAAATGGCCTCCTAGATCACCCGATCTAGCGCCCAATGATTTTTTCTTGTGGGGTTATGTGAAAAGTACTGTTTACACTTTCAATGAGAGAGCAGACAATTTGCATAACCTACAGGTGAAAATCGTTGAAGCGCTCGGGCAAATACAGCCTTCTACCCTCTTGAGAGTTCGTTTTATAACCACCTGACATACTGTTCATTGAATGAAGGAGACGTTTTTGAGCCCCAGCTGTGAAGGACCATTTGAAACATTTGTGTTCATTATTGCGTTTTATTTTTGAGAACTTATTTTTTTGTTAGAATATCTTTTATTTTCGTTACACATTTTTAAGAGTGTACTATTTTTTGTTAGAGTGGGTATCTTCTTATTTTTGTTATAAGACGCAACCTTTAGTGCTATAAAACCAATTATCCATTCATAAAAATAAGTAGAGTGATTTAGGTGATTTCGTGAAATCTCGAAATCACCGAATTCGGTTCACAGGACGTCCAATCGAACTGGTGCGTAATGCGCGCATCTACTGTACTTCTTCTATCGACTCAACGCATACTGAAATTTGCAGCAGACCGCAGACCTGTATCACGAATGAGAATAATAGGCAGATACGCTGTGTTGCCAATTTGAGTAGAGCTTCCCGAATTGTGGGGAATTTAGAGTTAAGTGTTGATTCATTCAAACTTTTAATCAGCATGGCCTAGACGTTAGAACTTCATAAAGATAACATTGAAGCTGAATGCTGCTGGAGTATAGTGTTTCGAATATTCAAAGCGGAGCGGGACACTATCCTCGTTCAATGGGTCATCAAGCCACAGTCTTTTCAACAACGAAATTATTTTACGAAAATGAGTTATATTTTTACGATTTTGTCGTCACCAAATCTCTGTTTCTCAAAATGTACGTCTATTGTAGAATTTTCAGCAAACTAAGCAAGAAACGTGATCTAGTATTTACTCAACATTACGGATTTCTCGAAATACATTAAAAAATGTGACCTAGATACCTAACTGCCCCAAGCTCTTTAAATATAACACCTTAAACCAGGGTTACCAGGTGCTCAGTCACGTTGATTGTCATGTTGTACTGCGCAAGTGAGCAAACAATCTGGCGTAATAAACGTTAGGAATCATCAGGTATTGCCAGATTCCCGAATACCGGGCACCATAGTGCCCGTTATAGTTGTCCTTCAAAGTTGTCAAATCGCCCCTATGGCGCAAATTCGCCACACCAGGCAACTGTGCTTATCACTACTATTTGATAGTCATATGGTAGTTGTAGCCCTATCTAGCGGTCCATGATTCCTCTCAATACTGTTGTATCTCTACTGGCAACAAGAATAGGGATTACAAAATCATTTATACAACAATATACAAACATGAAAAATATGATTTGAACCATGAAACATTAATACAATTTTAATAGTTTGAACTTTTTTCATTTTTGGAATACTCTTATGTGGAATCCGCAGATATTTTTCCCGAAATTTGGGTAGACTTAGATTTCTTAGAAATATGACATACTGGTATCGGCAACTCTGCGAATGGGAGAAACAAATCGCATTTGTTGAGCGCATCCGTCTAAGCGGCAGGCGCCAGCGCCCGTTCTGCCATCTCTCTTTTATCACTCTTCTACTTTACCCCGTTGTCCGTCACACTCCGACGCTGCCAGATAGGATCCTACAATCGAGTGTCTTTCACGCACCTACATACTTTTGTATATTTCCATCTCTCTTCCTCATCATAATGTATAATAATGTTTTTTCCGAAGGTGTATGGTTAACATAACGTAAACAGATATTTAAACATTCAATGGCCATTAAGACAGCGTCGCGAGGGATGTACATGCAATTTTAGTCTTAATTTTCATGTTTTTCAAAAGAATTTTGAAGTGTTGCGTCACAACAGATATTAAAAAAGTGTAATTATGTCTCTATCAAACTAGCGAACAGAATTTTTGTTCTATTTTTCGTGGACATGCACATACAATTTTATATTTTCACCTTACAGGTTTTTTTAGTATTTTCGAAGAGGTGTGACTTGAGAAATGTCTGACCCATTACAAAATAGACAAAAAGGCACAAAATGGGTCAGTCAGGAATTTGAGCGCAACATGTCTTATAACACGCTTTTTGTCCGAAAATGCCTCGTCTCCGAGATACTGGCAAGAATTTAACTTTGTCAAAAAACGACTAATAAAAAATATCTAAAGACTGTTGCGCATCTATGATCGAGATAGAAGCTTGTTTCCTGGGTAAATCGGGCACGTAGATTCCAAATTAGATGTCGATACAGTGCTAGAAATTACGGCTAGCCCGGAAAAATGGTTTCCTGTCAACTTTTTACCCTAAATCCAGTCTGATGACACTTTTTTTTATACAGCGTGTCCGCAAAGTTGGGATTTTCATTTACACGACGTGTAGATCTTGAAAACATAAGCAATTTTTCTTAGTACCATATACACCAATGTCTTAAGGGAACCGAGATAAAGGGCTCTGCAACATCAAAAATATCTGAATACCGACCTGTAGCCGCGACATCCCCAAGTGGTACTAGGACACTAGCTCAACCCGACGACAGAACTGGGTCCGGATCAGTGTATCAGGTCAGTATGCAACCTTCAACCGACGGTTACGGTCACGCGTGTAGAGTATCAAAAACCAAAGTGTGGCAAACGCTGCGTGAAGAGGGGCTGTATCCGTTTCACGTCCAACGTATACAAGCCCTTCAACCTGACGATTTTCCAGCAAGACTGCGGTTTTGTGAGTGGTTGTTGCATCAACATGACAATAATTCGGACTTTTTGAAGTGCATATTGGTGACATACGAATCTACGTTCACGCGTAATGGGGTGAATAACTTTCGCAACACTCATGTTTGGTCAGTAGAAAATCCGCACGCCGTCCGCCGGGCACATTTCCAACAAACATTTTCGGTGAATGTTTGGGCTGGCATGGTGAACGGTATGCTCATTGGACCATTTATTCTCCCAAATCGATTAGACGGGATGCAATACCTAGACTTTTTACGCAACATTTTGCCTTCCTTGTTTGCCTGCGTCTGCTCGCTAGCGCATCAGCTGATTTCATTTTCTGTTGGAGCGGTATGATTTCGGGCAGAGACGTACTTAGCCCTTCTCGTCAACTGGAGAGCGAGTACTTTTTCCTTTATTTTTTTTTACTTGGTCGCCCTCGTTTCACTACACATTACCTTTGTTATTTCAAGGGTAGTTGTTTCTGAGAAGGAAAACCCCAACTTTGCGGACACCCTGTATATATATATATATATATATATATAACAATACGTTGCTAAATTACTGTGAAAACTTCAAATATAGTTTCTAAAATTCCCAGTTGCGTCGTATTTCGGGCCCTTGAGCAAATACTTTTCATCATTCAAATGTTAAATCCGATCTTCGGTACATTTTAATTGAAAAAAAATGATAAACTGGGAAGAAGTTAATTTACAAATTTTGGAATAAATAAATAAGCTATAGATCATACGTTTTCACCGTATTTTGGAATTCCCTCCTTATAAAAGCTATCTCTACGTCCATGGTCACGAGAAAGTCATACTTCACCTAAAAATTTTGCCCAATGTTCGATTAGCATCTTGTTCTATACTAAGTGACATATAAATCCGAACACCCAGTTTAAATGGTTTAATTTTAATAAAATTTTGTATAAGTACTTAATGAAGCAAAATAAGTAAATGACAAAAATTTCAAAATGATTGCACTGCTTTAAAGCCCTTTGACCTTTAATAATGTGTGGATGCACCTTGATGTGCTACGCATTCTCCAACGCGCCTAGGCATGCTTCTGATCAGGTGGTCAATGTCCTCCTGTGGTATCTCATTCCAGGCAACCACCAACTCCTCTCGAAGTGCTTCTAGAGTCTGAGGAGGACGTTGCAAATTGAGCAATCTCCTACCCATCATATCCCACACGTGCTCAATTGGGGATAAGTCGGGAGATCTTGGTGGCCATGGTAACAATGTGACATCATTATGTTGAAAGAAGTCTATTGTGACTCTTGCAACATGTGGTCGGGCATTATCTTGTTGGAAAGTTGGATCTGCCAGGGTGTCAAGATAGGGTAAAAGATGGGGTTCTAGAACTTCGTGGATATAACGCTGCGCGTTCATGTTACCTCTGATGAAGATTAAAGGTGACCTGGAACCATAAGCTACAGCACCCCAAACCATAACTCCAACAGTGTGATGAACATGTCTTTCAACAAAAAACTGTGGATTCCTCCTTTCACCACGTCGCCTTCTAACCCTGGCACGACCATCGTGCATGCCTAAACAAAATCGAGACTCGTCACTAAAGACAATACTGTTCCATTCCTGATCCCAGATTGACCGTTGTCTGCACCACTCAAGGCGATTACGTCGGTGTTCTCGAGTTAAAGGGAGGACCCAGTGTGGCCGGTAAACTTCTCATTCATCGGTAAACACTTCGCATGCCAATAGGTCTTGCGTGTTCTGCAAACCATTCATTTGCAATGGACCTGGTAGTGGAGAAGCGGTCCCTTAAGGCCAATAATCTTAGGCGGCGATCTTCACGGTCTGTTGTTCTACGGCGGCGTCCAGTGCCCCTTGCTCTTTGCGTACGGCCTTCTCGAAGCCATGCCTGACAACACCTAATCACAGTGTCTACACTTCTTTGCACTCTAACTGCAATTGCCCGAAAAGAAAGTCCAGCTTCTCGAAGTCCCACTATACGGCCCCTATCAAACTCACTAAGTTGACGAAATCGTATAGGTCTCCGTACTCTAGGCATCGTAACCGATCGTAAAGGATGTCAAGAAACAAAATCCGCCAACGTTGATTCTTTACTGCGGCTGAAATATTCATTTTTAGAGCGTTAGTGAATTAAAAAAAAGCAGTATAAAAACCGTAATGTCCAACTGATAGGGCTGAAAATTTTTACACTTGTTATTTACAGTAAGATAAATACATTCACCAACTTTTATTAAAATAAAACCATTTAAACTGGGTGTTCGGATTTATGTGTCACTTAGTATATTTCGGGGGAAGGGTTACGCTCCCCCCCTCCCCGTATATACGCCCCTAACTTGAACCTTACACTGGAAGGTTTGTACTATTGGTGTACTCTGCAAATATTTCAACAACAGTATACCTTACCTTTCCCGCGTGTTCTCTTTTCAGAGATCTTCTCTTTGTGCGGCGTAAGTACAGGGATGTAGTGTTCAAATCGGTTTCCGAGCACGTTCTGGCCAGTGATGATCTTCCTACGCAGAGCATCTTTTGGAGAGAGCGGTTTCAACAAGGGCAGATAATAGTTGCGTTGGAACAGTTTGCTGGCCCTGGTGATTTTGCAGAGGGAGATTTTCACGTTGATGGGCATCTTGCAGCCGCTTCAAGTCGATCCTGTTGATGATTGTCCGAAATTTATGCTTGAGAAGAAATACAATATTAATGTCCTAGGTTCGGTCTCGGCTCTTAAATATAAACAGAAAGAAACGGAGAAACGTGGGATACGATACCACGATTATAAAAAATTTTGCATAATTGTTTCATTAATATTTTGATTCTAGTTCTCATGAATGCAATCGCGAGGTTTTTCAAATATACTAAATGATATACGAGGGATGTGTTTTGAGGTTTGCATCTGGAAATAAAACAACACCGTAGGTAGTTTTAAATGACTTTATTTATTCCACTCGTCCACGTTTGAATTCTCCATACCAACGGGAAATTGTCGACTGATGTGGCGCTTCGTTGCCGAAAACAGACAGTAACTCAACAAAGCATTCTTGTTGCGATAATTGTCTCTGAAAGTTGTAGTAACTTATGACGCGAAAATGTTCTCGGTTGAGTGCCATTTTTCTAATGACTTGGTGATACTTCAAAATACACTGTAGTGAGAACACTGCACGTATTGTTGTGAAACTTTGAATTTAAGTTTACTAAAGAGTGAGGTTAAGATTCAGTACTGACGTTCGATCCGCGCGGCCTACTATGTTTCTATATGTCTAACTTAAAAGACATCCCTCGTATAAAATGCATCGCCGACTAGGAGTGCTATAATTTTGAGCATACTTTTACAAGTTTTAGGTCTACTGATGAATAGAAAGTGATTAAAAGTTTATACTCCAACTACCAGGAAGGCTTAAGGAGGCCGTGCGGCTATAGGGGGGATACAAGTGAAAGGGGGGACCCACACGGACTCTGGCGAGGAACACGTGTGCATTCAACATGCACACCGGGTGGTACCTCCACGTTAGACAGTCAGAGACCGTCTACCACCTACGGACAATCACAACATCTTTAGCCTAGAAAAAAATTTCTCTTGGGACGGGATTCAAACCCGCGCAGCGCACGACGACTGATCAGGAGACCGAAGAGTCTACCACTGCGGCCACCGCTGCTGCCTCGGATCTGGATTTGGTTTCATAGAGCCTCCAACGTTTGTGGAGGGTGCGGTGACTTTTGCAACCTTCTTCCCAAAATGTTCGATGGGGAAAGGTCTGGAGATCGAGGAGGCCACTGAAGCGGATTTATTCCGGACGCTTCTAAAAAGTCTAAACTAACAAGTGCGACGTGAGATCCTGCTGAAAAAGTGGATCTTGCAACGTTTCCAAAAAGGGAAGCAGATGTGGTAAAACTTCGTTGATATAGCGGATATACAGGGTGTTTCAGTTTATTGTTGCGTAACTTTAAGATTCGATAGAACTTTGAAAATCAATGCATAAAGTCTATATAAACATGGGTCGAAAAATGCGTGGCTTCCGAAATACAGGCTGTTTAAATTTACTTTCTCAAATAGTTTTTTTTTAATATTTCGAACAATATTTGATGTATAATAGTGAAAATTCGTATACAAGGGTTTTTTGGTACGACAAAACGAACCATGGGCATAGTTTTACTATAGCCGCTAGAGGGCGCTCTCTACTATACCTGTAGTGTATTAAAATGACCGAAAATTTTTTCTTAGTGCAATTTTTTGCTTTTTGAATAAAAAAACTGATTCTTCGCACTTTTCAACATAAAAAAGCTCTCTTGTGAATTTTCGTTATAGTTAGCCGTTTTTGAGATATTTCGATTAAGGTTCGATGCATTTTTAATTATTTATGATAAAATAACGTTAAAAAGTCAGTATCTCGATAATTTTTAGAAGTAGGCTGTGCCTGCAGATATTTTTGAAATTGAAAGCAGAATAAGGTTAAACGTCAATTAGTTGACAGTTAGTTTTGTTGTCTGTTGAAACCTGAAACGTTTTTTTGCAATTGTAAATGCACGAAATTTAGTTTCTTTTACCTGTTATTTTTTTTGTAAGTGTTGTAAAAATGCCATTTTTATTCTCCAATCAAGAGTTAGCGGATATTCATTTTGTGTATGGCTTTGTAAATGGAAACGCAGCAGAAGCAGCCAGAGAATACGCACGAAGATTTCCAAACAGACGACATCCAACTCGCTCAGTATTTATAAGAGTGCATCGCCAAATAATTGAAAATGGTTTTGGAAATCTCCAAAGGGATCAAAACATAAATGTTCGTCAGCGCAGATTTACCCGTATGATTCAGCGTGAGTCTGATAGAGATCCGACCACAAGTGTTAGGAGACTTTCTGGTGCCTTGGGAATTTCAGCAAGCCATGTTCACCGTGTTCTTAGAAATGACCATAGACGTCCTTACCATTTGCAACCTGTGCAAGGACTACAGCCAGGGGACGGAGAACGAAGAATCACATTTTGTCAGTGTATTCTTGATAGAACTGATAATAATAGGGAGTTTTTAAGTAACGTTTTATGGACCGATGAGTCATGCTTCACTAGACGTGGAGTGGTAAATTTTCATAATCAACATATTTGGTCGCATGAAAATCCGCATGCAGTTCGGGAAAGAAATTTTCAGCATGAATTTAGTGTGAACGTGTGGATTGGTATCTACCGTAATCGACTATTTGGACCCTACCTTTTGCCTGCAAGGTTAAATGCTGCGACCTTCTTGGAATTTGTAAAGGCTGAACATGCAAATATGTATGTTAGATTTAAGAAGATTGGCCTGGTTCCAGCTTGATGGTTGTCCAGCTCATTATTCGAGAATAGTTAGAAACTGGCTGGACGAAAATTATCCAGAAAGATGGATCGGCCGTGGAGGACCAGTTGCCTGGCCTCCACGATCCCCTGACCTAAATCCATTAGATTTCTTTGTGTGGGGATTTCTAAAAGAAAAAGTGTACCAGACTCCCGTAACCAATAGAGATATGCTAATAGACAGAATCAGGAATGCATGTGATGAAATAAGGCCTTATTTGAATAATGCTATACCACGTTCGATCATTCGTAGATGTGAATTGTGTATTGAACAATTGGGTTTACATTTCGAGCAACTACTTTAGATTTTGTATGTTTGTCCTAACTATCCAATAGCATTTTAGTTGTAAATAATTAATTTAATTTGTTAAAAATAATATTGGAAAATTAAACAAATTGATATTCTGTTTTTTTGTGTTTAATTGGAGTTAGGAATTATTGCCGTGTTTAAAAACACAATCTAAACGATCATCTTAATTACTTGTAATGCCCAAATCGAAAATGTAAAAAAATATTATTTTCCCATAAATATCTCAAAAACGGCTAACTATAACGAAAACTCACAGGAGAGCTTTTTTATGTTGAAAAGTGCGAAGAATCAGTTGTTTTATTCAAAAAGCAAAAAATTGCACTAAGAAAAAATTTTCGGTCATTTTAATACACTACAGGTATAGTAGAGAGCGCCCTCTAGCGGCTTCAGTAAAACTATTTGTCGTACCAAAAAACCCTTGTATACCAATTTTCACTGTTATATATCAAATATTGTTCGAAATATTTAAAAAAAACTATTTTAGAAAGTAAATTTAAACACCCTGTATTTCGGAAGCCACCCTGTATTTCGGAAGCCACCCATTTTTCGACCCATGTTTATATAGACTTTATGCATTAATTTTAAAAGTTCTATCGAATCTTAAAGTTATGCAACAATAAACTGAAACACCCTGTATATTCAGGGTGTGAAGTTAGTAGTGGATCAACGGAAGTTATGTGATAGAGTGCCTCAAAACCTATCGAATGAACCGCTATATGCGTAGTCCGAAATTTTATAGTCCAGGAGTAATTTGCAATTTTGTGAAATTTCGAAAAAAAAACGGGATAATGAACTTTCAATCGCAATTAACACTAAAACCATTAGATTTAGGGCTAAATGGTTAGTTTGAGCAATGGTTATGTCACTTTTTAACAGAGCTAATTAGAAATCAACGCAAAAACTCTGAAATTCATTTTTTTGTGGAAAATCTCTTCCTTCCCTTAACTTTGGAGCGCGCTAAAAAAATTGAGGTTGTATTTCATTATTCATTTTATTGTAAACACTATTTCATTTATGTAGAATAAACCCTGAAAATGTCAGTTTGCTACGATAAGTTCCTCACCTTAAAAATATGTATGTTTGACGAGCTACAGTCAAAACGATTTGATGGATTTTAGCATATGAGGTACTGTTAGATTCGTCCTAGCAGCGCGAGTGATACTGTGTGTCTTTCAAAATCAAAATGGCGGATTTTTTACGCAAATCGCCAAATCAGCTTAATGAGCTTGCGCATTCAAGTCGGCATTCCAGGTGCGGGAGCCTTCAACCTTCGGTCCGATCAGGCAATGATGCAGCGCGGAATTTGTATCTAACGTTTGGCATCTGAGTAGAATCATGTCATATTCTCCGGAGATTATGCAGAAATGCATTACCATTATGGTGCTGCCCTATGGATAGATGGATTCAGCTTTAACCGAAATGGAATAATCATCATGCACAATTTCCATTCATGGAGCGTGGTAAATCCACACGCTATTCGCCGACACAGCTTTCAACGTCAGTTCGGTGTTAATTTATGGGCTGGATTACTCAACAAAAAATTGGAAGGTTGAAGGATCAGTCATATCTTGCTTTTCCACAAAGCAGTTTGCTTGAGCTGAACCTTTGGACGTTCGAAACCTCACAAATTTTCAATGCGATGGCGCCCCATGCCGCCTTGCACGGGATGTACGGCGTTACTTAGACAGTGCCTTTCCTGGGCGTTGGATAGGTAGAGGTGTACGCATACGATGGCCTCCAAGGTCACCCGATTTAAATCCTCTAGATTTTTTTATATGGGATTTTATAAGGAGATAATCTATACATCTGAATATATAAATGTCAACCTACTGCGCCAGAAAATTGATGAAGCCAAAATAAAAAGTATGGAAAACGCAAATTCATTTCAAAGACTAAAGAGAAGGTGTCGCTTGTTTATAGAAAATAATGGAGGCTATTTCGAAAATGTTCTTTAAAAGTTAGAAAATTAAATTATTCTCCATATTTGTCGGTAAATCGCAATAAAGAGAGGCTAAATACAATAGGTTCTGTACTTGTAGGTGGTAAGGATTCTATTGCGTTTCTTACGTTTATCGCATCACAACAATGAATGTGATATGATACACTCATCGTAGCAAGCTGAAATTTTCAGGGTTTATTCTACATGGGTTGAAATGGTTTTTACAATAAAATGAATGATGAAATACAACCTCAGCCTTAGCCCTCCAAAGTTGAGGGATGGAAGAGATTTTTCACAAAAAAATTAATTTAAGATTTTTTGCGTTAATTTTTAATAAGATCTGTTAAAAAGTGCTAAAGTTGCTAAAACTAACCGTTTAGCTCATCTCAGAAAAAAAATCACAGCCCTAAACCTAATCGCTTAGTTGTAATTGCGATTTTAAGTTCATTATCCCGTTTTTTTTTCGAAATTTCTCAAAATAGGTTTTAGGTCCCTCTATCTCCTGACTTCCGTTGATCCACTACTAACTTTACACCCTGTATATATCGTTCTATGGAATATTGGTCTGTCAACACGTCTCCTCCTTACTCTTGCACGACCATCATGTTTCGCCAAAAAGAATCGCTGAACACGACTGAGTTCCATTTCATATTCCATTCAAGTCTCTCCATACTCCATACCAATCGTTGCCGACGATGCTGTGTGGTCAAACGTAGTACAAGATGGGAACGGTATGAAAACAGTCCAAAAGTCCTTATTCGGCGATAAAATGTTGAGTGATAATGCAATGAAACAGCAATGAAACAAATGGAACCAACACAGAAAAATCACTGAATAGTAAACATGTTCATGTTGTTCGGATCCTGATATGACAAAAAAAGTATACTTCAATGATAGCAAAAATGCTTACAAGATTTTAACAAAACTCGATAAATATACTAAGTGACATATAAATCCGAACACCCAGTTTAAATGGTTTTATTTTAATAAAAGTTGGTGAATGTATTTATCTTACTGTAAATAACAAGTGAAAAAATGTTCAGCCTTATCAGTTGGACATTCCGGTTTTTATACTGCTTTTTTTTTTAATTCACTAACGCTCTAAAAATGAATATTTCAGCAGCAGTAAAGAATCAACGTTGGCGGATTTTGGTTCTTGACATCCTTTACGATCGGTTACGATGCCTAGAGTACGGAGACCTGTACGATTTCGTCAACTTAGTGAGTTTGATAGGGGCCGTATAGTGGGACTTCGGGAAGCTGGACTGTCTTTTCGGGCAATTGCAGTTAGAGTGCAAAGAAGTGTAGACACTGTGGTTAGGTGTTGTCAGGCATCGCTTCGAGAAGGCCGTACGCAAAGAGCAAGGGGCACTGGACGCCGCCGTAGAACAACAGACCGTGAAGATTGCCGCCTAAGATTATTGGCCTTAAGGGACCGTTTCTCCACTACCAGGTCCATTGCAAATGAATGGTTTGCAGAACACGGAAGACCTATTGGCATGCGAAGTGTTTACCGACGAATGAGAAGTTTTGGCTTGTTTTCATACCGGCCACACTGGGTCCTCCCTTTAACTCGAGAACACCGACGTAATCGCCTTCAGTGGTGCAGACAACGGTCACTCTGGGATCAGGAATGGAACAGTATTGTCTTTAGTGACGAGTCTCGATTTTGTTTAGGCATGCACGATGGTCGTGCCAGGGTTAGAAGGCGACGTGGTGAAAGGAGGAATCCACAGTTTTTTGGTGAAAGACATGTTCATCACACTGTTGGAGTTATGGTTTGGGGTGCTATTGCTTATGGTTCCAGGTCACCTTTAATCTTCATCAGAGGTAACATGAACGCGCAGCGTTATATCCACGAAGTTCTAGAACCCCATCTTTTACCCTATCTTGACACCCTGGCAGATCCAACTTTCCAACAAGATAATGCCCGACCACATGTTGCAAGAGTCACAATAGACCTCTTTCAACATAATGATGTCACATTGTTACCATGGCCACCAAGATCTCCCGACTTATCCCCAATTGAGCACGTGTGGGATATGATGGGTAATTTGCAACGTCCTCCTCAGACTCTAGAAGCACTTCTAGAGGAGTTGGTGGTTGCCTGGAATGAGATACCACAGGAGGACATTGACCACCTGATCAGAAGCATGCCTAGGCGCGTTGGAGAATGCGTAGCACATCAGGGTGCATCCACACATTATTAAAGGTCAAAGGGCTTTAAAGCAGTGCAATCATTTTCAAATTATTATCATTTACTTATTATGCTTCATTAAGTACTTATACAAAATTTTATTAAAATAAAACCATTTAAACTGGGTGTTCGGATTTATATGTCACTTAGTATAATTCTGGGTGTTGCATTTGATACGAGGGCCGTTTGATAAGTCAGTGAAGTTTTGAATTTCCCGCGCAGTAACTTTGAATGCAACGCTGCTGCCGTCAACTGCAATCTTTTACATGACAACTGTCAAAATTTGAACAAGCTATGTCATTTCATTTGAGTTTGACAGCCGTTGAAAGTAGAGTCTCGTAAATTCTAACAGAAATGGAGAAACGTGAATTTCGTGATCTAATTAAACATTATTTTTTGCGTAAAAAAAACCATCACTGCAACCAAGGAAAGGCTTGACAAATACTATGGGGACTCTGCACCATCAATTTCAATGGTGAAGAAGTGGTTTACCGAGTTCTGTTGTGGTCGAACCAGCACAAGTGATGCCGAACGTACAGAATTTTTGCGCCGTTTTGTAACTGTAGACGAAACATGGATTCATCACAATACACCAGAAACCAAATAACAATCAAGACAGTGGGTTTCACATGGTGAGCGTGCTCCAAAGAAGGCCAAGGTTATGGCCACAGTTTTCTGGGACGCATGCGGTATCATTCACATCGATTACCTTGAGAAGGGCAGAACGATCACGGGAGAGTACTATTCAGAGCTGTTAGACAGATTCAACGTTGCTTTGAGGCAAAAACGACCGCATTTGGGAAAAAAAATTGCTGACCCATCAAGACAACACACGTGTGTAGTCTCGATGGCAAAAATTCATGAACTGGGCTACGAACTGCTGCCCCATCCAGCCTGTTCTCCAGATTTAGCCCCCAGCGACTACTTCCTATTTCCAAACCTGAAAAAATGGATGGGTGGTAAGAAATTTGGCTCGAATGAAGAGGTTATCATTGAAACAAACGCATATTTTGGGAGCCTTGATAAAAACTACTATTCGGAAGGAATTAAGAAATTGGAAAAACATTTTTTTTTATTTAAAAAGTCACTGACTTATCAAACAGCCCTCGTATATCACTTAGTATAGGTTCATGTTATGCCATTATATACTGATCTCAGAAGCAGATGTTATCTGATCTAATCCTTTGTATTCAATTTCAAGTATTCGCAGGTTAGTTTTTAGATGGTTAATATTCGCACTACAGGCAGGAAATAGACAAGTATTGGATAACGCATGTGTGGATATATTAAGTCTGTACGACACGTGTATGAACGTGGTCAACTGCAAAGGTTAGGGTGCATTTCTCAAGGTATGGCATGAAATCAAATAATTAATGAATGGCCAACAACCAAGACATGCTTGGTATGTAGCACGGCAATGTGAAATATGCTTACCTCGAAAGTTTTATATATTGAATAGTGATGACGCGATGTCCATAAGGTATTAATAAAAAATCTAAGTGTGACTACGAGAATACTAAAATAGGCCCACGTCGGCGATGGCACGCGGTATCGGTCCCAACACCAGCGGCGGTAATGAACCAGATGCCAGCGGATGTAGTGTTGATAAATGAGGTAGCTCGATGCATGACCGATACCCGATATCAAAATAGCCGATGTGCTGGCCTAATTGGTACATTGCCCACGCGGTCCGCGGGCTAGACGACCGACCTCCACAGCCGATGTCGCCAAATCCCCACCGTGTCGAAGATGTTCCCGTACTCGGGGGGATCCAACTTGAAGAAGTTTTCCAACGCCGGCCGGTCTTTGTTCAAGTATTTCTTGTAGTCCACGTCGAAGAACTTTCCTTTCTTTATGTTCTTCTCCATCTCCCGGAGCTTCTCGCTCTTCTTCACCGGCTCCAAAGGTAGGTACTTGGGTTTCGGAGGTAGCGAGTCCCGCATCTGCTTGATCTTGATTTTGATTTGTCGGCGTTGGTTGTCGACCTGCGCCTCCTCCTTACCCTTTTTCTCCTTGAAGTTCTCCACGCGGTCCTTTTGCTGTTCGAGGAGGTCCTTCTCGAGGAGAGGCACGCTGAGGTCATGCAGCACCGGTTCGATGTGCAACGGCGGTGGCAAGGGTTCCGGTTCCGGCGGAAGGACCGGGGGTTTTTTGGGGCCGCGTTCGCGCCGTTTCACACCCATACTCTCGCTGAACTGTCGCTTCGGTCGCTCGTAAGTGAACTGCTGCGGTTTTCGCGGCGGAGGCGGGGCAGGTTTCTCCTCCTCCTCCTCCTCTTCCTCAAGCTCAACCTCCTCGACCTCGGCCGGCTGTTGGTTCAGCCGGATGTCGTCCTCGGTTTCTGTGAACTGCAGCTCCCCCGACTCGGTGATCGTCGATTCGCCCGGCAGGAAGACCGCCTTATTTGGATCGTTGCCCATGACCAGGCCGGGAATGAGGGTGGGCTCGCCGTCGAGCATCACCGTGAAACCGGGAGTGTATTCGTTGTTGCCATTTTCGTTCACTACCGTTTGACCGGGGACGAACAGGTCGCCGTCGTCCGATTTGACCATTTGACCGGGCACGAACCGGTCTTTTTTTGTCGATTTCACGTTCAGCTTCAACCCTGACACGTTCGCTATTTCCGTCAGCTCGCCCTCGTCCTTCATCGAGCTGATTATCTCTGGAATTTCCGGCATTGTCGGCAGCATATCCATCACCTGGAAATTTTAAAATCAAATAATTATAATGTCTTTATTCGGAAATTAATCATAGTATGACGAAGTTTAGCCATGTTTGTTTATTTAAGATTATTTCGCATGATTGCTACAATTACAATCTTCTAAAGAACTGAACGATTACATAACATACAGACATTCAGAAAAAAAAACAAAAACAAAATTTGCATCGCTAAAAATTTTCATTGTCCATGGAATATTCCTTTAATTTTCTTTTAAATATCTTTAAATTACAAGCATACTTTATATCATTATTTAGTTTATTAAATTCAAGTAATCCTTTCTGAAATATTGATTTGCTAGTTATATTACTATTGCAATTTTGTAAATGAAAATCTATATTTCCTCTTGTATAATAATTGTGGTAATGATTATTCAATTCTATGTTCTGGCAAAAGATGACTTTTTATTTTAAATATAAAAATAAGAACCAAATATGATATGAATTTGAATTGAATTTTTCATATATCCCATGATTTACAGACAGAAACCTTAAAAAATGTTATCTAACCTTTTATATACGTTACTTCTGATTGCATTGTACTTTATTCTTAATACTTCAGTAAATTTAGTTAACTTATTTTGTTTGTTTGTTTGTTTAAGATTTATTTAGCATGATTGCTACAATTCTTTTAAACAACTACAACAATTACATAACTTAGATATTCAGAAAAAAAATATTACTTTTATTTTCTTTTAAATATCTTTAAATTACAAGTAGACTTTATATCATTATTTAGTTTATTAAATTCAAGTAATCATTTCTGAAATATTGATTTGCTAGTTATGTTACTATTGCAATTTTGTAAATGAAAATCTATATTTCCTCTTGTATAATAATTGTGGTAATGATTATTCAATTCTATGTAGTGTTCTAAATGTTCTGTCAAAAGATGATTTTTTATTTTAAATATAAAAATAAGAACTAAAGATGATATGAAATTTTTTATATTCAACCACTGCAATTCTTGTAACATAGATTTTATTTTGGGGTACTTAAAAAGCCATAACCAATGTTTTAAGACAAACAACGCATGCATATTGGTTCAAAAGGGTTTATCAACTGTTCAAACAGAAGATATAGATCTGGTACAAATTCTGGGTAAATCATACGACTCTGTCGGTATTTCATTTCAGACATTTGTCAAATTGTTGTATAACACCTGCAGGCAAACCCAAAATATTCTAATAACCTAGAGACAACATCATGGACGATGCCATGATTGTAAGTTAAGTTTTCCATCTTAAAAATCTAGACATACTTTTGATCATTGTCAAAATATGAATGAAATACCAAGCCCGTAGAAATTGCGTAACTACTTTGCACGATAATCACAATAAAATTTGCTGCGCAAGTAATTCAATAGCCCTATATCATCATATCATATACCTGTGTATGAAATTCACAATGGCCGATATGTAAGTAAACAAGATGACTGTAATGTGTTAGTTATATACTAAGTGACATATAAATCCGAACACCCAGTTTAAATGTTTTATTTTAATAAAATTTTGTATAAATGCTTAATGAAGCATAATAAGTAAATGATAAAAATTTCAAAATGATTGCACTGCTTTAAAGCCCTTTGACCTTTAATAATGTGTGGATGCACCCTGATGTGCTACGCATTCTCCAACGCGCCTAGGCATGCTTCTGATCAGGTGGTCAATGTCCTCCTGTGGTATCTCATTCCAGGCAACCACCAACTCCTCTGGAAGTGCTTCTAGAGTCTGAGGAGGACGTTGCAAATTGAGCAATCTCCTACCCATCATATCCCACACGTGCTCAATTGGGGATAAGTCGGGAGATCTTGGTGGCCATGGTAACAATGTGACATCATTATGTTGAAAGAAGTCTATTGTGACTCTTGCAACATGTGGTCGGGCATTATCTTGTTGGAAAGTTGGATCTGCCAGGGTGTCAAGATAGGGTAAAAGATGGGGTTCTAGAACTTCGTGTATATAACGCTGCGCGTTCATGTTACCTCTGATGAAGATTAAATGTGACCTGTAACCATAAGCTATCGCACCCCAAACCATAACTCCAACAGTGTGATGGACATGTCTTTCAACAAAAAACTGTTGATTCCTCCTTTCACCACGTCGCCTTCTAACCCTTACACCGACGTAATTGCCTTGAGTGGTGCAGACAACGGTCACTCTGGGATCAGGAATGGAACAATATTGTCTTTAGTGACGAGTCTCGATTTTGTTTAGGCATGCACGATGGTCGTCTAGAACCCCATCTTTTACCCTATCTTGACACCCTGGCAGATCCAACTTTCCAACAAGATAGTGCCCGACCACATGTTGCAAGAGTCACAATAGACTTCTTTCAACATAATGATGTCACATTGTTACCATGGCCACCAAGATCTCCCGACTTATCCCCCATTGAGCACGTGTGGGATATGATGGGTAGGAGATTGCTCAATTTGAAACGTCCTCCTCAGACTCTAGAAGCACTTCGAGAGGAGTTGGTGGTTGCCTGGAATGAGATACCACAGGAGGACATTGACCACCTGATCAGAAGCATGCCTAGGCGCGTTGGAGAATGCGTAGCACATCAGGGTGCATCCACACATTATTAAAGGTCAAAGGGCTTTAAAGCAGTGCAATCATTTTGAAATTTTTATCATTTACTTATTATGCTTCATTAAGTACTTATACAAAATTTTATTAAAATAAAACCATTTAAACTGGGTGTTCGGATTTATATGTCACTTAGTATATATTCTTCACTTCGTCTATACAATACATAAGAAATAGTTTGGTTGCAATAAAGTAGAATCACGTAACAGAATAGTTGTATAGTTGACAAAAACTGAATCTTGCACTGACGCAAATGTCCTATAGCGGCTGCAAGAGGCTTACACTTTTGTTTTATAACTGTTACCTGCAGCCCTTATACAACCTCTTAAATGACTGAAGTATCCTATTAGGTGTGCCCATTCCGCTTGTATAGGTGTTCTAAGAGGGTTTTGCCAATGTTCTTACAGTATACAATGCTGTTTAAGGAATACTGTATAATCATTCTTGCAACTCTAATAGGAGTGATTATTGTTAGTTGGGCTTGCACTGGCCGCGCTTAACAATCTGAATAAGGGGATCGCTCGATGATCAAAACTCACCTCTTTTCCTGCTGCCAGTATCTTCTCGCACACGTTCATCGTTTTGTCCATACTGTCCACTTCCATGGGTATGGGCTCGTCGTCGACGGGCTCGTGTTGTTCCTCGACCATCTGTTTGGCATCCTCTTCGAACTGGTCCCAATCAATGCTCTCGGCTTGTTTGGCCATCATCGCCTTCCAGTCCTGGGTGCCTTCACCACGACCCTTCTTCTTCCTCTTGGATGCCATCCTCATCATTTCCAGTTCCCATTCGTCCAGACCTTGTTCCTTAGCTTCGAACAGTCGCGCGACGTTCATCGTCTCTCTACCATGATGGTGCTTCTCTTCTACGTCTTTCCTTGTCCAACCCTCTCCACTGTAGAACGGGGCGTTTCCGTCGTAGGACACTAAGGGCATGGACACCTTGGAGTAATCCTTCATCACGAATACCACCTTCTCCGTTCGTTGTGCCATCAGGACGTCCAGGATGTCTTTGTCTCTTATAGCCCTCTCCATTTGGTGGGTCAGGACCAGAGTGCAGTTCTTGTCCGGGACGAAGTAGGTGTAGCATTGTCCGCGGCCTCTGGCCTTTCTGGACAGTTGGCTCATGAGTCGCGAGTGGCCTTCCATGTCTTCGTCCAGTAATGGCATGACATATCTCATGCTTGCCTTCTTCCTTTGTCGCTTTTTGCCTTGGCCTTTTACCATGAACCTTCTTCGGGCCATCCTCTCCCGGTATTCCTCGAGCACTGGGATGTAGTGCTCGAATCTCGTAAGTATATTTTTGCCTGAAAAGGGCAAAATGATTCAATGATTTGGGCCCGTATCGTCAGTCGTCCCTACAATTGTAGGGCGCGTTTATGGCCTCCTTGAATGTCATCCTCCTTTCTCTCCTTCAAAAATTTCTAAATTACACTTGTCCCGTGTCAACGTCAGCGCTCTCCTATTGTGAAGATATGTTTTCTTTTTAAATTCTAGGAAATTTCAGGCTGATAAAACATGATATAACTCAAAAGCAAGCACGATTTGATGCAAATAGATGCTTGTGACATAACCTCAAAATAGAGTTCTGACACGGAGAAGCAGAAAACTATGACAATCAAGGAGACCATAAAGGCGCCCTACAATTTTAGGGACGTCTGACGATACGGGCCTTATTGTGGTCGAAAAAAAGGATGATCGGAAAGTATTGAAAAGTAGTTGAAATTTTTTTTGAATTTCCACGTTGCTGCCTGTTAATACAACTTTTATCGCCATATTGCAGAAATGACACTAAAAAACAATTTTTCAACAATCTCTGCCTTTTGACGCAATTTACGATGAAAATATACAGGGTGTTCCAAAAATAGACTGAGATATTTTAGAGGGTGATTTCTGGTTAGAAAGTATGAAAAAAGTTTCTAATGGGTGATTTTTTTGCTAGTATCTTTTTGTCAACACTGTTTTTGACAGATGACGCGTGAATCGTGTCTTGTGTCATTGTCAAACTTGCTCAGTTTGGTCTATAATTTAACCATGAATCGACTTACGAACGAACAACGCTTGCAAATAATTGAGTCTTACTATCAAAATTCATGCTCGGTTAAGAGAGTGCATCGAGCACTGCTTCCAATTTATGGGCAATTTGGTCGGCCTACTGAGGGAGCTATTCGGAAGCTTGTGACTAAATTTCGAACCCAGTTTACATTATTGGACATTAAACCACCAACACGCAGACGTAGAGTGAGGACTGAAGAAAATATTGCGGCTGTATCCGCCAGCGTTAGTGATGACCGTGAAATGTCGATTCGCCGCCGTTCGCAGCAATTGGGCCTCTGTTACTCCACTACGTGGAAAATTTTGCGACAGGATTTGGGTGTAAAACCTTATAAGATACAGCTGGTGCAAGAATTGAAGCCACACGACCTACCACAACGTTTCCAATTTGGTGAATGGGCGCTGGCAAAGTTGGAGGAAGATCCACATGTTTATCGAAAAATTGTGTTCAGAGACGAAGCTCATTTCTGGTTGAATGGGTACGTTAACAAGCAAAATTGCCGCATCTGGAGTGAAGACCAGCCAGAAGCATTGCAAGAGCTACCAATGCATCCCGAAAAAATCACTGTTTGGTGTGGATTATGGGCCGGTGGCATCATCGGGCCGTACTTCTTCAAAGACGACAATGGCAGGAACGTAACTGTGAATGGCGAGCGCTACCGTGCGATGATAACAAACTTTTTTTTGTCCAAAATGGAAGAGCTGGACTTGGCTGACATGTGGTTTCAACAAGACGGTGCCACATGCCACACCGCACACGAAACAATGGCCCTATTGAGAGGCGAGTTCGGTGAACAGTTTATCTCACGTTTGGTCGCCTACATCGTGTGATTTAACGCCGTTGGACTGTTTCTTGTGGGGCCACGTTAAGGCTAATGTCTACAGAGATAAACCAGCAACGATTGACGCACTGGAAGCCAATATTGAAACATTTTTTCGTGAGATACCGGCCGATATGTTGGAGAGAGTGTGCCAAAATTGGACCTTGCGCATGGGCCATCTAAAGCGGAGCCGCGGCCAACATTTACATGAAATAATCTTTAGACATTAAATTATATCGACCGTTCTATCGACTCAAATAAAGATTTAAACATTTTTGCAAATTTTTTGTGTTTTTCTTTGAAAATCAAATCCTATACCTCTTAAAAAATCACCCGTTATAAACATGTGTCCGGAAAAACAGTTTATTAATATCTTAAAAAATATTTACTCAATTCGGTTGAAATTTCTGTATTATTTGTTGAATTAAGATGCTAATTTAGCCATAAATAGATCAAAATTATCAGGTCCAGTGGCGTCCCGGGGGCACCTTAGCGAATATTATTGGCAAAAAAATGTTCGACGCTGACTTTTTTGTAACTTTAATATTCGTTGTTTGATAAAGCATCTAGAAATAATGGGTGTTTTTTTTTCGAGATATAGAACTTTAAGTTGGCATTACTTTTGAAGATGGCGACCGATTTGACAGCTGTCAAGTGATTTATTCTCAGTTTGGTTTGGCAATTCACATGAATAGACTCACGCCTGAATAACGCTTGCAAATTGTGCATTTTTATTTCGGAAATAATGGTACTGTGCGAAATACGTATAGCGCACTACGTTCATTTTATCGTCGAAAAAATCGTCCATCAGAGCAGTTAATTTGATTAACCGTGGAACGTTTTCGCACCACGTTTACTCTAATTGATAACTCGCATCCCCAGAGACGCCGTACGGTGCGTAGAGAAGAAGCTATTGCTACTGTAGAGCGTACCATTGAGGAAGACCCGAATGAGTCCATCCGCCATCGAGCGCAGGAATTGGATCTGTGTCCATTCACTTTATGGAAGATTTTGCGGAAGGATCTTCGTTTGCGTGCTTACAAAATCCAACTCGTGCAAGAATTGAAGCCAAACGATCATCAAGCAAGGCGTAGATTCGTTGAATGGGCCCAAAACGAGATTGCCGTTGTTCCCGATTTTCATAAGCGAATTTTGTTTAGCGATGAAGCGCACTTCCGGTTGAATGGCTACGTCAACAAACAAAACTGCCTCATTTGGAGTGAAGCTAATCCTCAAGTCTAGATGGAAACACCGTTACATCCAGAAAAACTGACTGTTTGGAGCGCTTAATGGGCTGGTGGGTACTTCTTCAAAACGATGATGGCCAGAACGTTACAGTCAACGGTGATCGGTATAGAGCCATGATTAGTAACTTTTTCATTCCTGAATTGAACAATCATCACGTCTAGGAGCTGTGGTTCCAACAAGACGGCGCAACATGTCACACAGCTCGTGCTACAATCGATTTATTGAAAGACACGTTTGGTGACCGCCTAGTTTCACGTTTTGGACCTGTGGATTGGCCTCCAAGATCTTGTGATTTAACACCGCTAGACTATTTTCTGTGGGGCTATGTAAAGTCATTGGACTACATCCGAGCCAGCAGAGGCAGTCATATGCCAGAAATCATATACTAAGTGACATATAAATCCGAACACCCAGGTTAAATGGTTTCATTTTAATAAAATTTTGTATAAGTACTTAATGAAGCGTAATAAGTAAATGATAAACATTTCAAAATGATTGCACTGCTTTAAAGCCCTTTAACCTTTAATAATGTGTGGATGCACCCTGATGTGCTAAGCATTCTCCAACGCGCCTAGGCATGCTTCTGATCAGGTAGTCAATGTCCTCCTGTGGTATCTCATTCCAGGCAACCACCAACTCCTCTCGAAGTGCTTCTATTGTGACTCTTGCAACATGTGGTCGGGCATTATCTTGTTGGAAAGTTGGATCTGCCAGGGTGTCAAGATAGGGTAAAAGATGGGGTTCTGGAACTTCGTGGATATAACGCTGCGCGTTCATGTTACCTCTGATGAAGATTAAAGGTGACCTGGAACGATAAGCTATAGCACCCCAAACCATAAACTGTGATGAACATGTCTTTCAACAAAAAACTGTGGATTCCTCCTTTCACCATGTCGCCTTCTAACCCTGGCACGACCATCGTGCATGCCTAAACAAAATCGAGACTCGTCACTAAAGACAATACTGTTCCATTCCTGATCCCAGAGTGACCGTTGTCTGCACCACTCAAGGCGATTACGTCGGTGTTCTCGAGTTAAAGGGAGGACCCAGTGTGGCCGGTATGAAAACAAGCCAAAACTTCTCATTCGTCGGTAAACACTTCGCATGCCAATTGGTCTTCCGTGTTCTGCAAACCATTCATTTGCAATGGACCTGGTAGTGGAGAAACGGTCCCTTAAGGCCAATAAGGCGGCGATCTTCACGGTCTTTTGTTCTACGGCGGCGTCCAGTGCCCCTTGCTCTTTGCGTACGGCCTTCTCGAAGCCATGCCTGACAAGACCTAACCACAGTGTCTACACTTCTTTGCACTCTAACTGCTATTGCCCGAAAAGAAAGTCCAGCTTCCCGAAGTCCCACTATATGGCCCCTATCAAACTCACTAAGTTGACGAAATCGTACAGGTCTCCGTACTCTAGACATCGTAACCGATCGTAAAGGATGTCAAGAACCAAAATCCGCCAACGTTGATTCTTTACCGCGGCTGAAATATTCATTTTTAGAGCGTTAGTGAATTAAAAAAAAACAGTATAAAAACCGGAATGTCCAACTGATAAGGCTGAAAATTTTTTCACTTGTTACTTACAGTAAGATAAATACATTCACCAACTTTCATTAAAATAAAACCATTTAAACTGGGTGTTCGGATTTATATGTCACTTAGTATATTTAAAATGTAATGCCACAAGATTATCTTTAGAATAAAAAAAATTCACGTCATTCGAATAATCCATCGTTGTTTTATTGCAATTTAAAGTTCTATACCTCTAAAAAAACACCCTTTACAACTCCTTTGCCTCCTGTACTTTTCGTATACCTGCCAGAATTCGTTTGGATAACACCTTTGGTGAAAAGTGTGTTGGAAGAGGTGGACCAGTTCACTGGCCACCGCGCTCCCCTGACTTAAATTCAACGGATTTTTATTTATGCGGACACCTTAAGACGATGGCTTACGCTATGCCCATAAAAACAATAGAAGAATTAATGAATAATGATTCGTCAAGCGAGAAGGTGTACAGAAATTGTGTTGATGTGGTACCTATTGGAAGAGTTGCAATAACACTCTTTCCTAAAACAATTTTGATTTTTTTGTTTTCTGAGGCGCGTGTGATTTTTTTTCACAAAAATTAATTATCCGATTTGGTCCAATGGCATGCAATAAAACGGTTTTATTTTTTTTTCTCGAAAACG